TCTTTCTCCAAAATACAATCCGGCCCCCCACAAGGTCTGAGGGACAGTGGACTGGCCGCCTGCTGAAAAGGTTTGCTAACCCCTGATCTAGGCCATGGGTAGGCACACTAAGGTCTGGGGGCCATATCTGACCCAATTGCCTTCTCAATCCAACCCACGGATGGTCTGGGAATCAGCGTGTTTTTACATAGTAGAATGTGCCCTTTTATTTAAAATGCATCTCTGGGTTATTTTGTGGGGCATAGGAATTTTTTCTTTTTCCTTTTTTTCCAAAATATAGTCCGGCCCCCCTCAAGGTCTGAGGGACAGTGGACTGCGCCTCTGCTGAAAAAGTTTGCTGACCCCTGGGCTAAAGGCTCGCTTCCAGCTTCTTTCTTGAACAGCCCGGTTAATCTAAACAGGGTTCATCCCCAGAACCAGTTATGGGAGGGCAGGAGGGCTTTGTCCTGAGCCTGAGGCTGAAAGTTGTTGTTGTCGTTTTACAAATTTAGATAGGTGTTAAGTTTTTATGCACATTGGCTCAAAACGTGACATAGTCTCGAAGCATTGTATACATGGCATTAGCCACAATTCATCTGTAGCCAGTAGTTTCTTGAGAAATACTCCTCTTGGATGTGTTTTCCCTCAAAGCAGCTTCCAGCCAATTAGCAAATGGAAGCCTCAGGTAGGCTGAGGTGTGTACACTGGAAAGAGCCATTGCACATGTGCAGAAGACAGCTTCAGTAAAGTGGTGTTTGGAATGGGGAAGCCAATGATGTGAGGTGCCTCGGGCAAAGACATTTTTGAGCCTTCTCCAGTGTGTACAGCAATGTAAGAAAGTGGCTTGACAGGGGGAAATGACCTCACTGCGTTTCAAGCCACTAATACGTACATGGACTCAGTTTTAAGGAAATAAGAGCTGTGACTTGTAAAAGGCAACCGATATAGATTTTGTCATATTAGAGAGTTTAGAATGCTCATAAATATTAATAAATATGTATCAGATCTGAGGGCACAAGATTAGACTGTGATGAACATGTTCCCATCAGATCAGAGGACTGTAGAAACCGCTCAATATTTTTTGGTGCCCTATTTTGTTTTGATGTGCCATCTCCCCCTCTCCCCCCAATGACAACTAGGGGTCTCAAAAGTTGGGCCTCTGTGAATGTCTGAGAAGGCCTGTTCTTTAGCGGTGGCTGTAGCCCATTGCAAGGGACAAAGTAACACTTTTAGAAGCCCTTAGCACTGAAAAGATTATGGTGCCCCCATATGTAATTCAAACAAACAAACATCTTACACAATATACGCTATTTTTATGTGTGTGCGCGCGTGCATGTGTGAATGTATATGAATGAATCAAATACAGTGGTACCTCGGGTTAAGTACTTAATTCATTCCAGAGGTCCGTTCTTAACCTGAAACTGTTCTTAACCTGAGGTACCACTTTAGCTAATGGGGCCTCCCGCTGCTGCCACGCCGCCACCGCGCAATTTCTGTTCTTATCCTGAAGCAAAGTTCTTAACCTGAAGCACTATTTCTGGGTTAGCGGAGTCTGTAACCTGAAGCGTATGTAACCCGAGATACCACTGTACATATAACTCAGAATAATATATCAATAATAAAAGCCTAGATTTATTGCAGCACATAACAAGTTTGGATTTATTAGCAATACTTCAGTCTATGTTAGTAGGACACCTCCTGGTTTAGCTCAGGATCAACAGCACTATATATTCGAGAAAGCAGTTTATCTGCTACCATTTGCTTGTTCTCTACATGTTCAGACACCTTTTGAGATCTCATCACCAAACTCAGCATGCTGCTTTCCGAGGTGGCAGTCTTCCTCAGTGTTTAGGTGCCAGGTGCAATTTTGAATCAAGATGGCAGACTGAAATTGAACTTTGGCTTGTATTTGCCTATTTTTTGGCATAGGTTCGACCATCCCTTGATATATCATTATCACCAAACTTTGCACAAAAGGTTCCTAAGATGGGGGCAGAAGTTTTCATCGGTGCTTGGATCCCACACACCATTTTGAATCAAGAAGGCAGACCAAAACACGACTTTGGGTTTACTCAACCCAGTTTTTGGCATGATGGGTCTAAATGTACAAACTGCACTACAGTGGTACCTCGGGTTACAGACATTTCAGGTTACAGACGCTTCAGGTTACAGACCTGCTAACCCAGAAATAATACCCCGGATTAAGAACTTTGCTTCAGGATGAGAACAGAAATCGTGCAGTGGCGGTGCAGCGGCAGCAGGAGGCCCCATTATCTAAAGTGGTGCTTCAGGTTAAGAACAGTTTCAGCTTAAGAACAGACCTCCAGAATGAATTAAATTCTTAACCCGAGGTGCCACTGTATTTATTTAAAAAATGCAATATTATTTGGTTTCTAAAAATACCTGGGCAGCACATGGCACTCCTCACTACTAAATAATAAAAACAGAAGAGAAAAATAGAGGAAGAGTGTGTAGTAAGTTCTGATTTTCCCTATGATTACTATTTCCATGCTTAAAAGCACAAAAAAGCACCTATTTAGCCTGCCTATTGGGTATTCTAGCCCTGACTAGTAAGGCAAAGGTGGAGCCAGAGCCAATGAGAGGCAAGCCAATGGATTATATTTTTGCCCCCATCACCTACTGAGTTCTAATCCTAAACACACTTGCTAGGAAGTAAGGCTTGTTTCAGGTGATGGGGATAAGCTGGAAGTGCAACAGCTGGGATCATTCCTTTTGTAATTGAAGGGTTAATTAACCAAGGGGGTGGTGATGGAGGTGATGCTTGGAGCTGTTTGCAGGAAGCTTGAAGGGCTCTCCAATAAGCAGGAGGGAACCGAGGAAACAATCATGGTCATTCATATGCCTTATTGGCAGAAGCAGCAAACACACACCCTGGAGGAAAGGGGTCAAGTTCACTGCATGTACGGTGTTAAAGGAAAATATTATGAAAATGATGTATAGATGGTACTTAACTCCTGTAAAATCAGCAAAGATATATCATAATAGTGCTAATCTATGTTGGAAATGTAAAGAAAAAGAGGGTACCTTTTATCATATGTGGTGGACCTGCCCCAAGGTGAAAGACTTCTGGGAGAAGATTTATAATGAATTGAAAAAAATGTTGAAATATACATTTATTAAGAAACTAGAGGCCTTTCTTCTTGGAATAATAGGTTTGGAATTGCCCCAAAAAGATGTTAGATTGTTTCTGTATGCCATAACTGCGGCAAGAATTTTCTTAGCTAAGAATTGGAAATCACCAGAAGTCCCAGCAGTGGAGGAATGGCAGATGAAGATGATGGACTTTTTGGAGCTAGCCAACCTGACTGGAAGAGTCTGCGACCAGGAGGAGGAGGAGTACCAGGAGGAATGGATGAAATTCAAAGACTATTTCGTTAAATATGCTAAGATAACTTAATTGGAAAAACTTGCAAATATCAGATAGGCTTAGGATTTAATTATGTGATGTTAGAGAATAATATGTTTAAAGTCAAAATGAAAACAAAGATGTTAAGTGATTAAGTTAATTTTATGAGAAAATTGGTTTTGGAAAACTGTTACAATGATATACACTGAAATTCAGCCAGGGGGTTTTGAGGAAGTCACTTAACAATGTTACTAACATTGGATCAAGTACAGTTAAGATGTATGTATGTATGTATGTATGTTTAAAATTTTTGGAAAACCAATAAAATTTTTTGAAAAAAAGAAAAAGCAGCAAACACACACCCTAGAAAGAGAACACAGGTAGACATAGAGAACCTCTTGATGCCTCCACCAACTTCTCAGCTTAGATGAGAACATACATGGACAGTGGCTTCCAAACTTTCAGCTTTCAGGGTAATGCTTTTCACATCAGCTTTGCAAAGGGTTCTGGGGCACATTGTCCGCAGGGAGCATTGGCCAGGCCAGACTTTGGAGAGCCTACCTTATAACAGACCCATCATCACGAACAGCATAAGGGCCAGCAAATGCTTTCTTATAGAAGGATTCCTCAGGTTTCTGCAGCTTGAAAGTTAGCAGAGAGTGTAAAATACCAACTTAGTGTTTTTATTATTAAGAAGCAGACAACACTGCCACCTGGTGCACAATAGGGAAAATACTTCCTGGTGCAACAAAACTTAAGCACCCCTTAATTTCAGACTAAGTGCAATTCAGACGACTACGCATCCTGATTTGCTTGCACAAAGCTTAGGCAGAGGTTAGGTTATATCCAGTCTTTATTGAGCATTTTTCCTGATTTGTTTGCAAGGAAGGTCAGTCGACACTGAGCATTCACCCTGATTTGCTTGCAGGCTGTTTACACGCCTTCCCACACTTTCCCACAATCACACGCAGAGTCGTAAACTGTTACGGAGTTGCGAGCCTTCTTGAGCGCACGAACACTTCCAGCGCAATCGTGTCTGCTCAGAAATAACCCCGACTGAGTCCAACGGCGCTTATTGGGGCAACAGCGAAAATGCAAAGGCACCAAATGTTAGCGGAGGAGAACAAGGTGATTGCTTAATTACGGAAGCCAGTGATTGTTGCCAAGATGGTGAAAAAATATATATACTGTATCTGCACAGAAATCGCTACTGCATAAAAGCAGCAAAAATACGATTTTGCCACTAAGTCCGTCCTACTCAGTGGCGAACCTGCAAGCCCTCTCGACCGCGGCAGGACTCGAACCTGCAATCTTCTGATCCGAAGTCAGACGCCTTATCCATTAGGCCACGCGGCCGCTCTGGAAGCAGGGTCTCCGCTAGACCTATAGGAACTTGAGAAGCCGGGAGCTGGTTCTGAACCATCCTGGAAGATACCATTTCCTAGCGAGTGTCAAGGGGGGAGAGGGAGGGAAGAAAGTGGAGGTGGGTGGGAAACAAAACCAGCACAGCCTGTGTCTGAGGCAAACTCATTTATTTCTCTATTTTCTGCTTGTTCTCTCAATATTTGGGCTGTGTTTAAGACGCGAAAGGACACTTTGGTAGCTTCCATATAATAATCCCCCCCCGTGTCGGGCGAGCTCACTCCAGTCGCGCGCCGGCGGAAGGTTCGCCTCGTGAGCTCTGGGGCGGGGCGGAGTTTGGGGTCGTGGGCAAAAATCACCTCATGGTGTTTTGGGTGCTTCGTGTACCCACGAAAGGGGGCGGCCGGTGGGGGCTGCTGGTGGTGGTGCTGTATAGCTTCTTCCCCCTACCACCACCCTATTTTTGTGAGGAGGGGCAGCCCATTTTGGGGGAGGGGGTAAAATAGCCCAATTTAGGGAAGGGGATAATTTGTGGGCGCCCCTTTTGGGTTGGGGTGCTGGTGAGGAGAATAAATATTAACTCCTTTGGGTGGCATGGAAAAGAAGCTAAACTGAGGGGGGTAGGTAAATTTTGAGATAATTTGTAGATATATGTCTCTCTTTTTCTTTTTTGGAAGGGGGGTGGGAATTTGGGAATCAGAAATATTGTCTTACGCCCTCTGGACGTTTGGTGTCCAAAGTGTTGGTGGTGGTGTTTTTACTGTGTTTTTAATATTCAGTCAGGAGCCACCCAGAGTGGCTGGGGCAACCCAGTTAGATGGGTGGCATATACTAAAATTATTGTTATCATCATCATCTCAAGAAGACAAGTATAATCATCATTGTTTTCATAGAATTGTAGTTTTGGAAGGGGCTGCTCTTAGCAGTCACAGATAGTATGGACTGCTTTTCTATTTCACCCTCCAGAGGGCTCGGGACACCCGTATTTATTTACGTGGCACATAGTTAAAACTAGGGAGCTCTCCCACAGAAGGTAGTGATAGCCACCAACTTGGTTGGCTTTACAACAGGATGAGACCAATTCATGGCAGCTCTCCATGGCTAGTGGCCATGATGACTATGCTCTGCCTCCACAGCTGGAGATAGCAATGCTTCTGAACACCAGTCGCTAGAAACCAGGGGAGAGGAGAGTGCTCTTGTGCTTGGGTCCAGCTTGTAGCCTTCCCAGAGACATCTGGCTGGCCACTTTGAGAACTGGATTCTGGGCTAGATTGGCGGTTGCCCTGATCCAGCAGGCTCATCTTCCATTCCTATACATATCCTCATTTACCCTCACAAGAACCTTGGGAAGTCAGTCTGACTGAAAGATAGTGATTTGACCAAAGTCATTTTGCAAGCTTTGTGGATGAGTGAGGTTTTGAATCCTTTGTCTGAATCTGGAACACTTGTCTAGGTGCTTCACAACTTTAAACACGTATGTGCCCAGCATCTTGGGCAGGAAGATGGCAAAAATTCCACACGAAACCTCAATTCTGTTAATACTTTTTGTCTCCTGATAGATCTTCTGTATCCTCCATGCTGCTCATTTCTAGTGAAGATGAAGCGCTTGGTGTGGAATACAGGTCCCTTCGGATTACGGGGAATACAGAGATGGTCCTCGGGTTCTTCTGCCAGCCGCCTGGTTCAGGAGGAGATGGCACAAGATACTGGTTCTGTCCCCAAACAGCAACGCATCAATCCACTTGGCATCCAGATGCTTTCTAAGCATCTTCATGAGCAGATTTTCCGGGGTGCCCAGATTGAATATTCAGAGGAAGACATCCAGAAGAGTGTGGCACACTTGCAGAAGCATGACTTGTGGGGCAAAGAGACAACTACTCTTCCTGATGTGGAATTGCAGCTGCCCCAGTTGTATGGGGCCAACATCGATGAACACTTCCGCATCTTGGCACAGAAGCAGAGCCTCCCATATCTGGAAGCTGCTAAGGAACTTCTTCAGTTTGGGATCCCACCAGTGCCCCAGGAGTGGGCTTGGAAAGCTGGGTGGACACGATACGGACCCAGTGGGGAGAAGACAGCTGTTGATTTCCCTGATGAGCGGGCCTTGGTGTTTGATGTGGAAGTGTGCATGAATGCAGGCCAGTGCCCTACACTTGCAGTAGCTGTTTCCTCAAATGCCTGGTAAGATGCCGACAGCTCTGGTAGAAGGGTGAAAGTTTTTGTTCCTACAAACTTTGTATAAAAGTAGAACCTATTAGGCATCAACAACATGACCTAGTCAGTGTCCCGCTACTTCTGTCCCCAGTGTCCCAAATACTTTTTTCATTGTTCATTGGTTTATTCCTATATACCACTTTTTAAAAAAATGATATTTATTAAGAATTTTAAGGTTACAAAGAAATAAAAAGGAAAAACCAAGGGGGAAAAAAGGAAAGAAAAAAGTAGATAAAAGTAACAATTAAACAATACAAATCAATAAAAACCAAAGTCAAAAAGAAAAAACAAAACACACAATACATCAAAAGCAAAAAGCAAAAATAATCAAAAATTTAAACACAAATCCAATATTCCCAGATCCTTAACTGTCATTACCTTATTTCATCGACCTCATCGCACCTCCCTTTTTTTGTATTCTAGTTATTAATTATCTCAGCAAATCCTTTCCATCTTTCACAATATTCTGTCATTAAATTACCTTAATCTATTTTAACCTTATCTTACCATAAAAAGTCCTAAAACTTAAAACTTAAATCTTATTTATACCAAATTCTCTTAACCATTACATATTCTTACATAATTCTTTTTAACATTTCTGCTAAAGCCCAATAATTTCATTCCAACATTTTTCTAATACTCATTAATTTTACAGTACTTTTCTAAATGAATTTTTAAAACTTTCTTCCAATCTTCATCCATCGTCTCTTCTTCCTGGTCTCGGGTTTTGTCAGTCCTTTCTATCCCATCCATCTAGTCCATCAACCTGGTGACCTTATGTCCGAGGCTCTTAAGTCTCTTCCATGTCCCTTCCGCAGGTCTTCTTCATATTTATACCTGTACTTTACTTTGTCTTCTGCTCCTTTCACTCGGGGAGACTCCAGCTTGACAATATTTTTGTCCCTTCTCGACAAGTCAGCCCCTTTTCCATAGTCAACACCGAAATCCACGTGGTATTTGAAGGCATGTTTCAAGGCCCCTCCAAAATTAAGGGCCCCCACAACTCCGAGCTCCCCCCAGCCCAAAGCCAGACTTGAAAAATCAAAACATCCATGCATAGGGGGGTCCATCCAGCCCCCCATCTCCAGGCTAAACAGAACTCCATCTCTCCAAATCTGACTTTTTCCAGGTTCATTCGTCAAATCCAACAACTCATGTTCCTGCTGGGCCACAGCTCCCTCCATCTCTGCCACCCGGGATCCAGCAACAGCCTCCTCCTTCATCTCATCTGTCAAAGCACATTCCTGGATTAATTCCTCAGTGGGTTCTATATAGGTACCCACTGTCTGTCCAAAATTTCCGATCGCAACAGTCATCAAATCCATCTTCTCATGTAACTGTTCCAATAAAGCACTTGTCTTGCAAAAGGCAAGCACCAGAGCCTCCGAGTACATTCTTCTTCAAGGTCGAAGTCTGGTCCCACAATCTTAATCTATTACAGCTGCAAAGCTCCCCAGTTCGGTTTTAATAACAGTTTCACAAGCTCCCTCTAGGGGAAACAATTTCTTTTTGTATCCATCCTTTTTTTTTTTTTAAAGCAGATCTAGCAACAAAGTTTTCCTTTTTCAGATATTTTGTCAATATTTTATTCCTTTTAAATGTGAAGGGGAACAATGGAATCAATATATTTCTCTTCTTTTAACTAACTGTCAAAAACGTTTGTCCAAAGTCAATGAACTTCCCCAGAACGTCTGTCCTGACACCCCGCTCCCAGGTTCAAGACGGTGGAAAATTGCCTTTCTTTACTCTATCTTCTGCAGGTTTAAACAGTCTAAAAAAGGTTCCCCCCTCTTCTCCTGCTTCCAAGGGGGGTTCAGTAATTTTAAATGATGAAATTTTGGTCCTTTACAGACGACTTTCTAAACTCTAGCTTGCCGTGTCTTTGCTTCAATCTATCTACAAAAAGCGGAAGGCGGACTTCCTGTTTAGACCTTCCCGCTTTTGGTGCCTAATTAAGAAATTTTCACAGTCCAATTTTCCATTCTACTCACGGGCAGTTGTTTGAAATTCAGTTGTCCACAGGAAAAAGTCAGCGCTCTCCGGCAACAGCAATGCGGCTTCACTCCGTGAAAGAAGCAGTCGATTCAAAGCACCGCGCCACTCACCCCACGTCGCTCCGGATCCCCAAAACAGGGTTTCCCCACGAGTGGAGGGAGCGCAAAGGTGCCAGCCGAATCCCACGTCCACAGGCTTCTCCCGCCTGTGGTTTTTGATGGGTCTCCGCCTCGCCGTGGCGGTTCAGACCCTGTTTTCCACGGAGCGGATTCCTCCCGATCGGAGGAAATCCGCCATTGCCAGAGGCGCCAACCCGGAAGTCCCTATATACCACTTTTTGGCCAAAGGCCCCTGATCAATCAGCATCTCACATCTATTAGACCACTTCCTGTTCTTATTCAGTTCTAGGTCTCATACCATAGGGCAAGGCTGGAGAGCCTCAGTTCCATGCAGCCCTCTAGGTCTCTTTCTGGCCCTTGAAGGCTACACCGCTCCCTGGCCCTGCTTCATATCCCCCCCCTTTTTTTTTGAATGATTGAAATGTGTCCTTGCACTTTGATAATGTTTCTTGCTTTCCTGTAATTAGCTTATGGTACATAAGTACAATTTGTATTTGTTGCTCTGCCAGTGTTTGCCTTTGGTCCCACCCACCACTGGCACGTGGCCCTCAGAAGTTTGTCCAGAGAGAAATGTGGCCCTTGGGCTGAAACCCCCCTCCCGCTTATACATGATGCTGCTATCTTTTCTTCTGGGGTTCTGTTGTTGAAAGAGCGCCAGAAGAGAATAAATGTTTCCACCTAGAGTTTCCTGGGCTTCTGTAAAAGAGCAAGAACAAGAAACTGTGCTTATGAAGAGACAATTAGTGTTGTATTGGGGGAGGGGGTTGTGTGACCTTCCATTATATATTTGGAGGAAGCCCTCTTTGTGAGGGAAGCCCTCACAAAATTCCTAACCAGATGTGTGGGTTGTGCACAGAAGCTGTGGGACGGTCAGAAAAGTGTTAAATTAGAACACGAACTCCCACCTCCTAAACTTGTTCAAAGCAAAGTGAGAATTGAAAAAGAGGCTGTATTTTCCTTGTTTCCTTAAACTTCTAAAGAACTTCATCTTATGAATCCTAGTTTAGCTATCCCTTCAGCACACATATCCAATATGTGGCCCATGTTAAATTAAAATTTTAAAATAAAATAAATAAATGCTGGTGGTGGTGATTCAAAGTGTTTTCACCCTGCTCTTCAGTTGGAAAAGCCCACAAAGCAACTTAAAAATTAATAAAATAACACATTATTTGCCCCTATGATTACAAAGACGTAGCATGAAAGCAAAAAAGGATTTTGGGAGGGAAGAGCCAAACAAGAGGCACCAAATTCTTGATGTTAGGTTCTTAATATGACCATGTCCTTGTCTTCCCTGGCAGTGTGATAGCTGCTGGGAACTTGATCTATTTGGACACTGCTCTACATGGTTAGTCATCTGTGTGAATGTGCCCATTTGGTTTGGACAAGCTTTACACACAGCAGGGGACTCTCCCCTAAAGCACAGGTGTTAAAATCAAAGTTGTTTTAAAAGGTAGGTGCTCCTGTAGTGTGATCTTACGTGTGCTGGCTCCTGAGCATCTCCCACTAAGTTCAACAAGATTCATTCTGTAGTAAATCTTCTTAGGATTGTAACATTTTTTTTTTCCAAAAATGAAATTGATATGGATGTTAAAATGAGTGCAATGCTGCAGCGTTCTTTCTGAAATTACTAAATTTTCAGATCTAGAAAGAAATGAAGGTGGGTTCAGGTGTTCTATCGTGCCCTGGAAAGAGTGCTTTAGTTCATACAGCTGGTTGTGTTTGCTCCCCAGGTACTCATGGTGTAGCAAGCGACTGTTAGAGGAACGGTACACCTGGTCCAGCCAGTTGACTCTGTCAGATCTCATCCCTCTGGAAACGAGCAGCAGCCTTGCCAAGCAGGATTGGCAAGAGAGGCTGGTAGTGGGTCACAATGTCTCTTTTGACCGTGCACACATCAAAGAACAGTACCTGATTCAGGTAAGTCATCTTTGTCTTCCAATCTTTTCTTGTATGCAAGCTGTTATTGGTGGCTGAAGGCTAGATGTTTGTGGTAACATGTATCAGTTCAGTTGCTATCATAGCCATGAGCCATAACTTAGAAAATTGCACAACAAACAAGATACAAATAAATACTTGTAGAAATGAAGTTTAGCAGATCAAATAGCAGATCTGTATTGAAGCAAAATTTTCCCCGCAGCAGATAGCTAGGTGTTTATTTTATTACAAAGTCCTTGTGAATCTTTGATGCTGCAGTTGCAAACAAAGCAGCTGTCCTTGTTGGTTGTTTGTCCAATGATAGAGCTACGTGTTATGCTATTGCCTTGTATTTTTAAAACCCAGCCATTGCTTCTCTGCAAACTGCTGTCAGGAGGGTACTATTTGCAAGGGGAAATCCATACATGAGGAGGAGGGGTGATTTTTTTAAAAAAATAATTTTTATTAACAGGCCAATCAAATCACATTAATTCCAAATCACATTAGTTCCTAATTATACAGCCAAATTTTTAAAATTTTGTTGGGGATACCCATACTTCGAGCTCCGAAAGGGATCCAAACATCACTCTTGCTGCTGCTTTAATTACACAGTTCTGTCCAGATAGTCTCTTTGTTATTTTCCTCATCATCTTGTTGTTATCATATATTCCTTTCTTTGTGATCTCTGATAATCTTCACAAGCGGGTTGAAAACAAACATATCCTGTGTGGATTTTACTCTCTCCAAGAGCCATATCACATAAAGGACAGACGCCATTTCCACACCTCAGTACAGAACATTCCCACAGTCTGTCCGTTGATTTCCACAGGCCTGCCAGTCTGTCATCAATTTTCTCAGGGGGCCCTGCCAGGTCGAATTCACATTCCGATAACCATACATTCAGATTCCGATGACCATGGTCCGAGGAGGAGGGGTGATTAATGCTTCATTCACCTGCCGCTTTTCTCTCCAGCAAGGTTTCAAGCTCCTCTTTGGATCAGATGTATGAGTCTGGAATCCTAGCTGGAGAAAAAGTGGTTGTGAGAAGGAGCTGCAGGTGGAAAGAGGCAGAAGAGGGAAGGGTTAAGCACCACCCTTCCCCTCTGCTCCCCACTCTGATGCTGTTTTGCAGGTGAGAAGCTGCAGTCAGAATTTCAAATCCTCAGGGTGGAGATAGAATGTATAGTTTGGGTACGAGCCGTTTGGCTAGAATTTCACCTGACAGCAGGGTAGTTAAATTGTGAACTCTGAATTTGAATCTTGGCATCACACCCTGCCTGTGATCCCTTCCTGAGGTATCTATATGGCTTCTGTTGGTAAGACCTGATGCTGAACTTGACCCACAGTTGACCTGCTCCTGAACATACATCATAGCAAGTTCTATGTAATACTCTTTTATCCTCCAGGCTGCCTCACTATTGTTGTTGCTTACTGGATTTCCTACTTGCACTTCACCATGAGGTCCCAAGGCAGGCTATAACAATATAAAAATATACCTGTAACTTTAAAACTAGTTAAAATAATTTACAATAGGAAGAAGAGGGTTGGCCTTCATAGCATATATCCTAGATGTCGTAGGATAAACCTAAAGAGGTGTCTTTAGCATATAACAAGGGCTATACCATGTTATTTTTTGGCTTGCCATGTATGACTCTTGCAGTGTTTGTGACATTAAAACAAATATTTCAGGGCTCCCAGATGCGTTTCCTGGACACCATGAGTATGCACATGGCCATCTCCGGGCTAACAGGATTCCAACGCAGCCTTTGGATGGCAGCAAAACATGGCAAGAGAAAAGGGCAGCAACAGGTGCAGCAGCATATCAAGAAAACACGGAGTAAAACTGATGGCCCTGAGGTGAGTTGGAAAGGCACAGAGGAGTTGCATGCTAATCCCTCCTTTTATTCACAAGGCCGCCCCAATTTATATCTATAGGGCTTGCAAAGCGGCAGCACTAGATAAGATTGTAATGTACTCCAGCGTATATTGAACTGGAGATGTTTTTTCCCCCCCAAAGAGCAGAAGGCAGTTTGGAAGAAGGATTACTGCTTGTGGCTGGATGCTAGCTCCTCTTTGGTCTCCGGTAAACAGATTTTTAGGATTTTATATTGTTTTGCAAACTAACAAATCCCATTTGTCTAGAGGTGACAGTGAAACAAAGATAAATGTGTATGTACACATTGAGAAGTAAAACTCCTTTCAAACCCAGTTTTAGTTTTTTTAAACTATTTTTTTGTTTTGGGTGTCAGTCCTTTCTGGCTCTGCATTCAGCAACCTTGATCAAATCATACTTATATATAACATGGGAATGAGAATGTCTGGCCTTGTTGGATTGTTGTGAGAATGTAATGATGGTTGGAAAGCACTTTGCAGAACTAAAGTGCTATCTGTATTTCATATATACATCACACTTGAATAACAGGTTTTTAATATTCTGTCCTATGAGAGGAGTGGAGAAAGAGGTAGATAGAGATGTCATTTTTATACCTGAGGTTACATTAGCTGGGACTGAACACTTTATTTCTCTCTTCCAAAATAACTAATTGCCCTCCTTTCCTCATAATTGCATGTCTTAATGTGTACAATTTTGTCTCTTACTAAAGTTGCAAAATGCAGTTCCACCACCATGGGGTTTTTAGTAGAAGACTGACAGAGATCACCATAGACAGTTGGGAGAATTTTTTTTGGCAAAAGCATTCTGAATTGGTAGTAGAGGGGAGAAGTGCAGAACCAGCATGGAGGAGATTGGCAACATCCTAGATGTGAGAAAAGTTTTGTTAAGTAATATGGACTTCTGTTGCCTCTTGCATTGTCATTGTTTCATAGGCAATCCTCCGATAAAGGCCTTCCAAACTATAGCTATATTTCTGTATGGATGCCACAGTAAGTCTGATCTACAGATACATCAGAATGAGGTGGTGGAGGGCTGAGATGGTATAATAGATGGCTTTACTTTAGACAGAGTGATCATATTTTTAAATAGTCACATATATTTTTAATAAATACATAAATAGAAAACAGACATGGTTAACAAAGTACTAGGATAGAACCTTTCTCGCTACTGTGCTATTTTTCTCTTGGCAGGAAGGATTTTTTCTTATGTACAGTAGAGGATCATTCAAAACTGGAATTACCATATTTTTTGCTCTATAAGACTCACTTTTTCCCTCCTAAAAAGTAAGGGAAATGTGTGTGCGTCTTATGGAGCGAATGCAGGCTGCGCAGCTATCCCAGAAGCCAGAACAGCAAGAGGGATTGCTGCTTTCACTGCGCAGCGATCCCTCTTGCTGTTCTGGCTTCTGAGATTCAGAATTTTTTCTTTCTTTTCCTCCTCCAAAAACTAGGTGCGTCTTGTGGTCTGGTGCGTCTTATAGAGCGAAAAATGCAGTATTTGTCTGCAGTAATGCAGTTCAAGATTCCATCTCAACTTTCTGCCACCTCATTCACATGTGTAGACAAGGTCTCATAGGACTTGCCATTCTTGTAAAGATCCTGGACCGTGTAGATGTTCTGTTTCATTCTGAGGGTTAGAACTAATCATAATGGAAGTCTTGTTTCTATAGATTGAGGACCCAATCTGATGGTTTCTTAAATGTTTTTAAATGCTTTCCATCCAAAAGTAGGCATTTTGGGGGTTTGTGGACTAGTTAGCCATTACTCTGCTGCCTTACTACCTTGCAGGTTGCCTCCTGGGACTGGGTGAACATTAGTAGCATCAACAATCTAGTAGATGTGCATGCCTTATATGTTGGAGGCCAGCCACTGGAGAAAGAAGCCCGGGAACTCTTTGTCAAAGGGAGCATGAATGACATCAGGAATAACTTCCAGGTAGGGAGATAATCTATGGGATGGTACTTTTTAAGGGAAGGAATCAGGAGACCACTGCTCAGTTGTAGAGCATATTCTTTGCATGTAGAATGTTCCATGTTTAAAGTCTGGCATCTATAGTGTGAAGGAAAGGGTCTTGGTATACCTGGGAAAGATGTATGATTTCAGTCTGGAGCGCTTTTGCCAGTCAGAGGAGAATACTAGGATAGACTGACCAATGGTGTGACTTAGTAATATGTGGCTTTTGATACAGGTGTACATAATTTATTCTCCCATTCCCTCTATTCTCTCTGTCTCCCTTCCAAGGACCTGATGAGATATTGTGCCCTTGATGTCCAGGCTACTTATGAAGTATTCCAGGAGCAGCTTCCTCTCTTCTTGGAAAGGTGAGTATTTGTGGTGGGAGGTTCTGAAATGTGGAATTCTTTTTTATGGTCTGTCCATTTATGAGATAGCTTGCTCTGGGTTAGCCAATAGTGTTAGGTTGCCTTTGTATGTCAGAAGCATCTTAGGGACAAGATGGTGTTAGATTATCAATAAACCACTTTACACTTTATCTTGCTAGGGATTCTGGTCTCACCTTTCTTTAGATACAGATAAAACTTGCAAGGTTCAGCGTGGTGGTAAAGTATCAGTACAAATCAACCAGTGTTACAATTTTGCGAGAAAGAAACAAGAAGCAGTATCTCCCCAAGCATCTTAACTCTTCAGAAGTGGTACAAGTGCATATACAAAATTTCTCAGTGAAAGAAACACAGATAATAGTTAACCAGAATTTACAATGCACGTTGGAAAACTGAGCCAAATAATTCTGTGAGTTACATCAAACAATGTACAGTGGTACCTCAGGTTAAGAATTTAATTTGTTCTGGAGATCCGTTCTTAACCTGAAACTGTTCTTAACCTGAGGTAGCACTTTAGCTAATGGGGCCTTCCGCTGCCGCCACACCGCCGCCGTGCGATTTCCGTTCTCATCCTGAAGCAAAGTTCTTAACCCGAGGTACTATTTCTGGGTTAGCGGAGTCTGTAACCTGAAGTGTCTATAACCCGAGGTACCACTGTACTAGATTGTCATATTAAATAAAACATCTGTTGTGATGGGCAGAGAGAATGTGAGGGGAAAGCTTGTACAATACAAAAACCTTGGGGGTGGGAGTAGGCACAAAATGTTTTGTCTCTTGTGGAATCTCATTCCGCCAGGTGGGAGGAATAGCCCTTGTGGACTGCCCAATGTCAGGAGTAAAGAGTACACTTTTGACTTTGCTGTAAAAAAAAGAGTGCCCCAATTCCAGAACTTAATTGGCTTCATTGGAATTAATGACATCCATGCACATATGAGAGAGAGTGAAGGGGTCCATCTGTTACCCAGATCAGTGCTCTCAGCTATTGGACCTTGTTCCTAGCAATGTGGCCTCAGCCTTTCATCTACATGGATCCATCCTTGGTTCTGTCCGTTGGTCATGCATAGTGTGACAGGCTCTTACGATCTGCTTCCATTGTATGCTAAGGTCAACAGAAGTCTAGTTTACATAGCTTAGTCCAGTTGCTCCCAACATTCTGGCTCCACTCTGTTATTACCCCCCTTTTCTGTTTCTTGGTTAGGTGTCCCCATCCTGTCACATTTGCAGGGATGCTGGAAATGGGAGTCTCCTACCTTCCTGTCAATCAGAACTGGGAGAGGTACCTGGATGAAGCTCAGGTCACTTATGAAGAGCTGCAAAAGGAGATGAAGAAATCCTTGATGAACCTAGCTGACAATGCCTGCCAGCTGCTTCATGAGGAAAGGTGGGGGTATTATCATAATCACTGTTACAGTGCACTGCTGCTTAAGCCAGAGCTTCATAATTGGTGAAGACCTGGTTCTCCATTAAGCAGTGGCAGGAGAGAACACTATGAAGCAGCAACAGAGCTGGAAGGAGGATGCATCACTCAACCCTCCCTCTGGTTGGGGTCCCAATTGCATGCTTGCTACATCTCAGGGAAACTCAGCTGAGGAGGTAGACCAGGACAGAAGATGAAAAGGGGAAATGTGGAAGATTTAGAATGTACGCACATCTGCCACATCTCCCCCTCATCTTTGCAGTTGGAGAACTGGGCTCTCAGACCACAGTTTCAGCTGACATTTAGTTCTGGCATTAAAATCTGTAGTATGCTTGGGGGTGGGGGTAGGGCAATTCCCCTAAAAAAAGACTGCAAGGTTGAGATAGAATTGAGACTGCGGGTTTTGTGAAATGCAATACTGTTTCATTAAGCAGACTACTACTTAGTAAAGGAATTTGTTTGGCACAGTTTCAGCAGTGAGTGCTTCTAGATAAACTGAGAAGTTGTTGCTATGACATGGTGGAGAAAAGCACCCTTTCAGCTCCTCTCCCTTGCTGTAAATAAACAGGAGTTTGTAGACCAAGATCTCACTGATGGAAATTGAAAAAAGTATTCTTCAAATTAACCTGTGGTGGTTGGTCTGATGTATCAAAACAGGTACAAATGTGATCCCTGGTTGTGGGATCTAGAGTGGGATCTCCAGGAATTTAAGCAAAAGAAGAAGAAAATTGGGAAGAAGAAGAATGAAGATAGTAATGATGAATTGCCCAAAGCCGTGGAAAAAGCCTCCATGCTAGAGTGGCAGGAAGGTAAGAGCATCATCATAATTGACTACTAGCTTGCTAGCACGCAGCTACTGTCTACTGGCAGTTGTAATCTTTCTCTCCTAAATCTTAATCAGAGAGAGAGAGAAAGAATATACCTTAGATGGAATGAGATCTTTTGTCTATCTGGTTTAGCATTGTCTGTACGGATTGGCAATAGCTCTCTTGGGTTCTTTCCAGCCGACCTGGTGACGCTAGGGGTTGAACCTGTTACCTCTTGGATCCAAAGCATGTAGTCTACCCTTGATCCAGATCCCTTCTGCTAAGCTGTCTTTGCAATTGGGTAGGAGCAAGCATCTTTTAAAATCTTATTTACGAGCCTGAAATACGTACCTCAGCGTGTGTGTATTGCAGGCAGAATGTTTTGCATCCAGCTCTCTAGTGATTTCAAAGTACGATAGTATTACCAGAGAATCTTAAAAAGTCCTGAGATCCCAGAAGTGCTGTTTTAAAAAGGGTGTCTGTGGTGTTGCATTTTTATTTATTTCTTAATTACAGTCTTGGAGGATAAATATGGAATACACAGGTGTTTGGAGTGCAATATAGAGGCAGTGGAGGAACATAAGAAGTATGGAGTGTTACGGAGCTGACACATTTCAGCAAGAAAACATTTCTCTCCTGACCGTTAAAGTTACATTTCTACTCTTCCCTAGGCTACTGTGCATTAAACACTCATGTATTTGAATTCCTCTTGGCCATTAAGAGTTTTAGAAATTTGCTAGCTGTCAAATTCTGCATTGGATTATAGGCTTTGCAGGCCACCAAATAACTGTATCCACGTAGATTCTTAAGCCTTTTGATGTAATATGTACTGTAGTTATAAAACAGCCTTGTCAACAACTGTACTCATTGAAAAAATAATTCCTTCCTGATTTGTTGTATCATGGAAACAGATCCGGGACCTCCAACTGAAGAGGAAGAACAGCAACTCCCTGAGAGCCGATTGTGCTTGGACCGTCTGAAGGGGACTGTAGCTTTGCAGCCAAAGAGAATTCAGCACCTGCCTGGCCATCCAGGGTGCGTTACTAAAGGGAAGTTGTAGACAGTGACCTTCCTAGGACCTTTTGTTCATCTCTTTGTCAGGAAGAAGGATTCCAGTTTAGTCTTCTAATATGTTAGTTTTGTATGTGCATGGATTTTTTTTATATGGAGCATTTGCCCACGAGAGCCTCCACCTGTTATCAAAAGTGTGCAGCTTAGACATAGATTTACCCACGTTCCTGAGAAGTAGACCTATTTTACAGTTGGCATTTAAAAAAGAGTAAAATAAATTGTTAACATTCCTATCATGCTGAGTGGATGTTTTTTGTCTAAAAGTTAGAACAGTTTGATTTACAAGACGATTGGTCAAACAACCACTTATTTGTCTGAATTATTCCGTTTGCTGTGAACATACAGAATTCCGTTGGCAAGGTCACAGGCCTATGTAGTATAGTGAAGATTACGGGTGGCTAACTTACAACCCATATCCAACCCTCACAAAAGTGTTTTATGATCCCCAAGTCTTCCCAAATTCAGCCTCTTTTAAAAATGATTAAATTTAATAATGAATGATGAATAATTATTTTCAGTAGTGTAGAATGGCTGGTGGGAAAGTCTCAGAAGGCAGCTTTTTGAATGGGAGCTCTGGTCACACCCACTTTTTACACTGGCCACACCCAGTTTCACACGTAACCCCTCCCCCCAAGGGTTGGCCATAAGCCAGTGCAGCCCTCAGCCTGAAAAAAGTTTACTACTGCTGCTAACGAAGCATAGCATTGTAGAATGGAAGCCCCCCCCTATAATTAATTTCCTGCAATGAGACATGCTTCTATGTATTCAAATTGAGTCAGTGCCGTTCAGATTATAATGTATTGAGAAGAGAGTCAGCAACCAGAGTCTCCCATTAGCAGCTCGATTGGAAAAGTTCTCTACTTTAAAAAAGGAGCAGGCCACCTGGAAGCATCAGTGACAGAGGAGGTAGCTTTTGTTAAACTGTGTAAAATCAACTCTGACAGGAGATGTAATTATTATTTAATGATTTCCATACAGCTCCTTGGTGAAGGCCTTTGAGCAATTTGGTATAAAATTTAATCTGAACAACCAATTATCTGACATTATTGAGGAAAGCTTTTTGTTGACTTTGTGGTCTACTCTCCCCTTGCATAGGTGGTATCGTAAGCTGTGCCAGAGACTGGATGATCCCAGCTGGGTGCCTGGGCCCAGCCTTATCAGCCTTCAGATGAGAGTGACCCCAAAGCTCATGAGGCTCACCTGGGATGGCTTTCCATTGCACTACTCTGAGAAATACGGCTGGGGTTACCTGGTGCCAGGGAGGAGTGACAACCTGCCAGAGGGGACTCCAGATGCTGACTTGCCTACTTGCCCCTTCAGGTAAGAAGTGCATTCTGGGGTGAAGAGAGCAACAAAGCTGCCATGGTCTATAATTGTTGCTAGTAATAATATTGTTTGATGCAGTGCAATCAGTGTATGCATTGCATCATACAGTCGCACAAAAAAGAGAGGTTCTTACCCTGAGGAGCTTATAGTTTAAAATTGCTGAGTTTGCAGTGGAAGGCAGCAAAAGAAGAGGTAGGACACAAAGGTAACAAAAGAGGGGAGAATTGTTGATTATGCTTAGTGAATAAAGCACTACTGGGTCTTTGCCCCCCAGAGCTATACTTGGAACCCAAAAGAGGGGAGCATTGTGAGAGGCAAGTTTTTAAAAAAGGATGAAGGTGAGCAAATGCAGTTGCACGCATGGTTCTCCAGGAGATTCACCTCCTTTCGTAGCCCATTTGTTGTACCCTGCAGGTGTGATGATTTTAATCTGCTTCCGACCTAAGCAGTTGCCTCCAAAGACAAGCAGAGAAAGTGCTCTCAGCAGGAGAGAGCTTCATTTATTCACTTTGGTACCTTTCAGGGACCGTCCAGGTGGATTTTTAGGGTGTGTTCTGCAACATATATTTATGCAGTAGTTGTGGATTTATACTGGATTGTCCACACATCACTCCATTTTATTCATTGTTCTGTGATGCTTTCCAGTTCAAAGAAAGGGGGTGGGAAGAGTTCAGTTTTGAAATCAGTGGCTAAAATCAGTGCAAAAGGTTCAGTCTGCCATCTTGATTCAAAATGACATCCAGTTGTCTCCTGAAATAGATGAAAACATACTCTTTGATCTCAGGAGCTGTAATGCAAAATTTGCTTTTTTGAGCAGGCCCAAGGTAGATGGTACTTCCTCAGGCTGCCTACAGCTGTGTCCCATTCAGCTGCACTCAGCACACGCAATTCTGGGTATAGCAGATTTGTTGAGCTTCCCAGGGGGTCCAAGAGATGGGTATAGGGGCCCCCACCACACACAGCTCTTTCTTCTTCCTCCTTTCCTCCTTGTCTTCTTTCAGCCCCACAGTGAATTGCAGTGAGACGTAAGGAATGTTCCCTAGCCCTGGAGAATGACATGTAAGAGCTAGGCCTTGTAAACCAGGGGTGGGGAACTTCAGGACTGGGGGACCAAATTCCAGGCCTCTGTCTGGCCCTCCAGGCCACTCCATCCTCCAGTTGTTTTGCTTGAGTGGAATTTGTTCATGAATGGCAATAGTGCCTCTTGCTTGTCTGGGTGTAGAAATGTCGGCATAGGAGCATCTCACTTCTGTATGGCTGAACTATAGCCAATTGCAAAAAGGAAAGCTATTTTTAGGTCTGATATTTGCAAATGAGTAAAGGTGTGAAGTGCTCAACATCCTTCAATGAAAAACTACTTTCATTAAAGTGAGCAGGCCCAGTGCACCAATCTCCTTGTCAGGTAACATTCTTATGGCAAAGTTTAGCATTGCTTTGCAAATGGGATCAAGAAACAGGATAATTTGCTGAATTCAGTGAAAGCAAAACTACTTTCCCCTTAACTGTAGGGTTATTGAGCATCTGTACCGGGAACACTGCAAGGAGAAAGGCAAAGAGCAACCTATCTCACTGGACACCACGCTGGAAGAAGAGCTCATGTTAACAGAAAATAGCGCTTTCTGGCATAAGGTACAAATTGTGTGTCTCACAGCTGTGATACATGATCAGTAGAATTATGTGGCGCAGTTCTTGCTAAACTGTACAATTTCAGGTAGCTGGTAAAGGCATTGCATAAGTGATTTTTCTCCATATTAAAAAGAAAACTCACCGGATAAAGAAAGCTAGCATGTCAAGGATGAAGCTAAGCTAGGTTTCTACATGCGAAGAGTTTTTGTTTTCCTCACTTGGGAAAGACCTTGGTCAGATGGGGATCAGGAAAATGAGTAGATGTGGGAGGGGAGAATGAGCTTAGCTATTAAAGAGATCTCTTTCCCTCATGCCAGGTTGAAGAGCTCAGCCGTGCGGAGATGGAGATGGATTCAGATCCTGTAACCAAGCAATTTAGTGAGGTAATGGTATACCCCCTCGAGAGAAAAACAGTAATTGAGGGAAAATCGGTACTCATGTATTGCCTAAACCGGTGTGCTTTGAGTAGTGGATCTTGAGACTGCTGGGCGAAAGCCTGAATGAGGGGCTCGTCTGATTGGGGAGGTAGTAGGAAGAGCGTTCCCCAATGCCCCAAACCCTTTGTCTACTCCAGCAACCCTGATGTTAGGTATAATGGGAGGGGAGGAACCATAGCAAATCGGTGGCATCAAGCATTGCAGAATTTTGAAAGCAGCATCAAGAGTTCCTAGAAAGATTGAGAGGGATTTATTTCCACAACTTTTTGGTGACTGTTCCTTTTAAATATGACAGAGGTGGTTGAGACCTTTCTGGCATGGATGGTAAAAACATCATTCAGATATCTAATCAAGAATGCTTCTCTAAAACTTTTTGCTTTGCCTTTATGAGGTGGGGCATTCCTACATCTTGAGTTGTCTATTTTGTTTTCTTGTACATCCTTGTACATTCAGGTCCAACTAACCCTGCATTGGTTTGCCAACAGGATGAGCTGGACCATTCAAAGAGTCATCCTGATTATCACCATGGCAATGGTCCTTACAATGAGGTCAATATCCCTGGGTGCTGGTTTTTCAGGCTACCTCACAAGGTGAGCAGGAATTTCTTGTATATAGAAATAAATTGATAATTTTCTCAAGTTCAGTTAATTGAACTTTAAAACCAGAAACTCATTAAAGTATATATGCAATAAAGTGTCTGTGATATATGGAGGATGTTAAACACCAGACAGGGAATATTCCCCCACCCCCTTGAGTATACACTAATTTTTTACCACTTGATTATTTTTCTTTTTTCTAATATCCTTGTGGTGGTGGTGGGGGAATAAGAGTGTAGTTATGGTTTTATAGACCTCTCAAAGCTATGCACCTTTGCCACTGAAATGAAGCCTCTTATTAAATTCTTTTGGAAATGTAATATTTCTTTCCTGAATAGAACAAAGTATGTGCAAGAGGTGCCAAGTATTCAAATCAGCCTGGAAAATGCAGTTTGTGATCTAGAAGTCTTTATCCCTATTGCCAGATGTTCTGAGTGGTGTTAAGGATTGTTCCTTGGGAAAGGAAATGCATCCTACCCATGCTCCAAGGCATTGCTTCTTTAACATTTCACAAGTGTTAAGGAGGTCATAATCCAGTTATCGGAGTTGCTGCTGGTCAGAATAGAAGCTGCTGGACTGGACCGTTAAGGGTTTCTGTAAGGCAGCTTCATATGTAGTAGGGAGGAGGGTTTTATGCTGGCTAATCCCGTTTTATAACCGATACCTTAAGCTAAAGCAAACTTCCATCTCCTGCTGTTAAAAGGATGGGAATGAAAACAACGTTGGAAGCCCATTTGCTAAGGATTTCTTGCCCAAAATGGAGGATGGCACCCTGAAAGCTGGCATAGGGGCCACAGAAGGGACACAAGCTCTTGAAATCAACAAGAAGATCTCCTTTTGGAGAAATGCTCACAAAAGAATCAGGTGAGGGGTGACTTCCTTTGAATTAAATTACCAGTCTGCAGAACTGCAGGACACTTTAATCCCCGCTCCCATGCTGTATGGTGATAATTCAAGTTCTTCTTTCAGTACCAAGGTAAATGTGCTTCTTGTGTCATGAACCATTCAGTTTGTATACTTTACTCCAACCTTTAAATTTTAATCTTTGCAACAAGAGAGGAGTCCCTCCCCTGAGTCATCTTCAATTTGCTAAGTGCTATGGGGAGGTAGGTTTTTGGGGTGTGTGTGCTTGGTATAGTTCAGTCTTATTACTGGGCTTGTTGAGCCCTGGATAAAACGCTAGCTCAGCTCAATTCTTCCTTTTATGGCCTGCTAAGGGCTTGAGACTTGGTGTGGTCAGGCAAGGAGACAAGGACCAATGCAAGACATTAGTTCTTTAGCTTCTGCTGTTTGCTTTCTGAAGTTTGTTTCCCTTTTGTTTTGTCAGTTCCCAGATGGTGGTGTGGTTGAAGAAAGGGGAGCTGCCTCGATCTGTGACCAGGTACACATACAGAGATGTCATTTTTTTCCTTTTATTTCAGCCAAATTTAGTTACCAAAGTGACTTACAACAACAACAACAAACAACACAATATAATTTGGGATGCGTTCACAAGTCTCTTCTGATCTCTAGAAGTAGGTGGTGTGTCTAGGTTCCAAACTTCTGTTTTTCTGCTCTTTCTTCAAAGATCTTCAGTCTTACAAATCAGACTAGCAAGTTGCAAAGCTGGCTGCTCTCAGAAGCAGCGTTTTTGTTGATTTCTGTTGTACTACCTCTCAGTTTTCCCTGTTCCTCCCTTTTCCAGCTCCTGCGGAAAAATAGCAGCCCTGTTTTGCTATCTGATCTGTATCACCTCCAGCTTTTGCTGCCTGTTGGTGGAGAATCTTTTGAGCTCTCAGCAGACAGTTTCTGCACATTCAGGCTGCTCTCCCCTGGCAAGTGTAATGTGTAGCCATGCTGTAAATTATCTGGACTGTGAAAGTAAAAGGATTCTGTTTTGGGAGAGCAGCTGATATTCAAAGAATCATAGAATGGTAGGGTTGGAAGGGACCACAAGGGCAATCTAGTCCAGCCTCCTGAAATACAGGAACCACAGTTAAAGAATCCCTGACAGATTGCCATCCATGTTTTTGCTATTGGGCGTGGGAGGGGGGCTTTATCCCAGATACTGGAGTAATTGCAGGATACATTTCTACTTCTGGCTCACAAAGGACTTGCCTGCTGAGTCTGGTTTATTTAACCAGATTTGCATGCCACTTATTCCATAAGTCTGGATGGGCTAGTAGTATGACTTGGAATAAGTTCTGCGTTCTCTCAAGAATCTCCACCAGGTTATTGGGTTTCAAGCAAATGTCAGAGATGTATATTACCTGAAGAGTAACAGCCAGTTAAGAGTGATGAATGTTCATGAACAGCTGCTTAGCAGCTACTCCAGCAAAATCTTTTAGAACCCTTCACCTCTGTAGGATGTGTCGGTTTACCTGCAGTCTTATCTGTTCCTGTCAAGTAGCTTGATCACTAGCAAAGCTGGCTTCCTCATGTTATATGAAATGGGCTCGCCCTGATGTTTCTGTAGGCACCCAGACTATGACGAGGAGAATAGCTATGGAGCCATCCTGCCACAGGTGGTAACTGCCGGGACAATAACTCGTCGAGCTGTGGAGCCCACCTGGTTGACAGCCAGTAATGCCAGAGTATGTATGGATTTTCTAATGCTTTTTATGCTTACTGAGAGAGAGAAACTGAAATACAGTTGCCCAAAGATATGTCCATCCTGCTTTTCTTGTCCATAATGAGAATTCCGGTCTATAAGAAATAGACACCTTTGGCTAATTTACAGGAATAGAGAAGCCATTCTGGCAAACATAATTTATCGGTTCGTTTATTCATTACTACAAAGTCCAATTAGTTCATTAGCTATTTCGATTTTTGGAGCATTGATTTCCAATTACGAGCTCGGGCTATCACTGCTGTAACTAGAAGATTCTGTAATAATATATCCATGAGCAGGAGAGTGCTGTTGCACTCTGGGCCTGCTTAGCCACTGTGTGAACACAGTGATGGACTAGGTGGGTCTTTGGTTTGATCTAGCAGGAATCTTATGTTCTCTGTGTCTTGCAGACTGACAGGGTGGGCAGTGAGTTGAAAGCTATGGTCCAGGCCCCTTCTGGCTACCATCTGGTTGGAGCTGATGTGGATTCCCAGGAACTTTGGATAGCAGCTGTCTTGGGAGAAGCTCATTTTGCTGGCATGCATGGTGAGCGTTTCCACTCACAACGGCCCTTCCCTGTCTGTTCCTTCAGCAGCTGATAGTCAGGGGTATACGAACTGCCTGGGAATGTGAACGCTCTGTTTAGCTATCATAGCTAATGCTGTGTTTTTGAAATACAGTATTTTACAGTACAGTCTGTAAACTACATATTAGAAATTCCACTTTTTGCCTTCTTCAGACCAACATATCTCTTTAAAATAATTTATAGGGGTCTAGAGACTACCATATATTTGTGTCCTAAGCTCACTCAGCCAAGGAGGACAAATGGCTGGCGGTTTAATTCTTTATTGACAAAAGCAGACACTTACAGAAGCTCCTAAGGTGCACAGAATACACATGCACACACACTTCTGGCAGCTACGTAGCTGGCATTTTTTCCAAGCTTGTGCCCTGGCTGAACAGTTGGAGCAACAGTGGGGCATCCCCCAGGGCTTAAGTACCCTTGTCCGACAGTGTGCATTATGGTATCTAGGCAACCATAAGGACTACAAACTTGTTTTTAATTGACATCTGAGGTTCTGAGCTCCATTTTGTATCCAGTGCCATATTTTGTTCCTGTACAGAATTACGGAGATACACCTGGCCCCATTTCACTCCAAGGTCTCTTTTATCACACCCTCTTCAAGACCACACTAACCCCTTCTTTCTCCACCAAAGGCAGCACGGCTTTTGGCTGGATGACCCTTCAGGGGAAGAAGAGCAATGCCACAGACTTGCACAGCAAGACGGCCTCCACAGTGGGGATCAGCCGAGAACATGCCAAAGTGTTCAACTATGGGCGCATCTATGGGGCAGGGCAGCCCTTTGCAGAGCGCCTCCTCATGCAGTTCAACCATCGCCTGACACAGCAACAGGCCAGTGAAAAGGCTCGCCAGTTGTATGTTGCTACAAAAGGGATTCGGCGGTAAGAGCCCACCTCTGATTGGATAGTATCATGTTCATGCTCTGTAGTAATTTCTGCAACCTTGATTTAAAAAAAACCTTTGATTAATTAAAACAACTCATTGTAATTGGGCAGTGTATTTTTTAAACAACAAAAAAGTGATTAAAAATACTACTGCCTGCAGTTTTTATATCTGGAAAGAACCATTCCGTCTCATTGAGGGAAATGGCTCTTCTCTGGTGGTGCCTTAGGGTAAGTCCAGTCTCATTAGTATTTCCCTTGTCTTTGAGAATGTCAGTGAACATAGCGATGGTCAAGTAGACATTGCATACTTGGACTTTCAAACAGCTTTCGGTGCAGTATGGGATAAGAGGACAGGTCCTCTTGTGGAGCAGTCACTGGTTAAAGAATAGGAAGCAGAGCTTGGAAATGAATGGACAGTTCTCAGAATGGAGAGATGTAGAAAGTGGAGTCCCCCCAAGAATTGGTACTGGGACCTGCGCTTTTGTTCATAAATGATCTGGAATTAGAAGTAAGCAGTGGGGAGGCCAAGTTTGCTAATGACAACAACTTTTTCAGGATAAGAGGATATTGTGTGAGGAGAGTGGGGATGTTTCTTTCCCAGATCATGTGACTTAGCTCTAAAAAGTTTACCCCCAAGGCTATTTGCTCACTCTAAGTTCCTGTTTGGCTCCAACTTGAACTATTGCCTGAACTGCCATGCTGAAGGTCCTACTTAGTTTGGACTTTGGGGGTGTTTTGTGTTGGCAGTTTTGGGTCCCTCCCAACTCCTGTGGTTTCTTATTCCATTCTCCTCTTGCAGCTGCTATCTGTCCGAGGAAGGGGAATGGCTGGTGAAAGAGCTTGGCATCCCCGTAGAAAGGGAAGAGGATGGTTCTGTGTCCCTGGAAGATGTGCGGAAGATAAAGAGAGAAGCAGGGAAATGGTAAGGTGTTTTCTACTGAAACGTTATGCTTGAGCTAAGCCAGGGCTGTTGGCACTAAAGTAAAATAAAACTTTTTTAAAAATCAAAATTCTGTGCCATGGTCATCTAAACTCCATACCACAAAAATCTACAGTGGTACCTCGGGTTAAGAACTTAATTCATTTTGGAGGTCTGTTCTTAACCTGAAACTGTTCTTAACCTGAAGCACCACTTTAGCTAATGGGGCCTCCCGCTGCCGCTGCGTGATTTCTGTTCTCATCCTGAAGCAAAGTTCTTAACCAGAGGTACTATTTCTGGGTTAGTGGAGTCTGTAACCTGAAGCGTCTGTTACCCGAGGTACCACTGTACATGCTTCTGCTCCATTTTACTCAGTTCCTTCTCCTGCTGGTCACAAAGGCAAAAGGTTATGTGGGCCAATGAAGCCTGGCCACTGGAAAAATTATTTAGCCATCCTTGTGGCTTCTGAGTATCACCAAGCACTCTTAGCCAAAGGGTAACAAATGTGTTTTGGAAAATGGAAATCCTTGAGAAGCTGAAGCCTATCCCTCCTATCACCACATAATGTCCTCCCCGCCCCCCGTGGTGGGGTGGCATATGTGCTGTAGCCATTCAGTCCTCCTTTGGATTTCAGAAAAGTGTCTGGTGCTTTGCAGGTTTATGTGATACCATAACACAACTGGGTTGTGAACAGCCATGGCCTTTTCTCCAGAAGATGATGAACTTTTAGAGATAATTTTTGACGTTCTCTCTTACTAAAGGAGAGTAACCCAAAACAGATTATCTGTTCCCATTCATGGTCAAGGCACAGTTTCTGCAGATTACCATATTTTTTGCTCTATAAGACACACCAAGTTTTTGGAGGAGGAAAACAGGAAAAAAAATATTCAGAATCCCAGAAGCCAGAACAGCAAGAGGAATCTGGCTTCTGAGATAGCCTCTTACCGTTCTGGCTTCTGGGATAGCCATGCAAAGCCTCTTCAGGGCAGAGGGATGAAGGCTCCCCCAAGAGCCACGCTCCCTTTAAAGAGTGCATGGAGCGTGTGTGCGGCTCTTGGGGGCTTTTCCCTGAGGAGGGAGAAGGGCAGCCCTTTTTCGGGGGGAAAGCCCCCAAGAGCCGCACACACGCTCCACGGGGCTCTTTAAAGGGAGCGCTGAGCAGAGCCTCCCGCCTGCATTCGCTCCATAAGACGCACACACATTTCCCCTTACTTATAGAGCGAAAAATACGGTAGGCAAGCTTGAAGCATCCATAGGGAGGAGTCCCTCCCTCTGCCCCACCCCCTGCCTGCTAGAGACAATGCATTTATCTGAGCAGCTTGATCACTGGGCTTTAATGCCTTGCTTTTGATTAACTTGATTTTTTCTTTCTCCACTCTAAGCACTTAGTGGTACAGGACCCAGGGTTTATATTTTGGGTGGTGGCTTTAATTTGTGAGGCCTACAAGTAGAGACTGCTACAAAACTTCTGCAATGTAGGTGGGAGAAAGAGAGATGTCTAATGGAGAAGAAATAGGTGGGCTGGAGTTCCAGCTGCATTTTCCATGCTGCAGAGAAAAATGTCAGGAAGCGGGTAGCTGGTGACGGAGTAAGCACAATCCATGCACCCTGGTACCTGCACCTTGACAAATCCCTAAACAGAAGTCTGTTGCTGAATGACTTGTTCAGCTCTTATGTTCTTCATATTGCAGGTCTCGAAGGAAAAAGTGGGATGTGGTGAACCGACGAGTGTGGGCCAGTGGGACAGAGTCTGAAATGTTCAATAAACTGGAAAGCATTGCCATGTCAGAATCTCCTCGCACCCCTGTGCTGGGCTGCCACATCAGCAGAGCATTGGAGCCAGCTGCTGTCAAGGGCGAGGTGAGAGGGAACCCTCTTGACTCTGACCTCTTGACTCTGAATTCCAGCCCTTGCTTCATTACAGTGTGTTTTGGTGGCAGCAGTAATTTGCCCAGCTTGCATTGCGAGGGTTTTCACTGGAAAGGTGGTATTAGGTGAATGGGAAAGGAAAGATGGAGGTATCTAGCCAATGACCAGCAACACGTAGGAACAGTATTTCATTTAAATTCTCCAGCTGCCTGTATGAAGCAGAGCATGCAGCTAAAACTCTTGCTGTTGGGCGTTTTTCCATGGTGTGCTTCATGCCACACAGAGCACGCCAATATTCATGTACATGTGATTGTCCATGCTGAAGGCGGGGGGTGGGGTGCATTCCTTTCCAGGTCTATGATTGTGGAGAAAGGCTGAGAATGATTCTGGCAGCCTTCCCAAGAAGAGCAAGAGCTGTAATGCGGGATTTCACTGCCTGCAGTGAGTAAAAATCACCACTAGACAACCAGGCAGGGGAGATCTACAAGGGTTAGTAATTTATTACATAACAACAACAAAAAAGCAACACGTATTTGCAGGAGGTTGGATAGTAGAAATTGTACACCTAGTATTGTAAGTCTTAAAAGTTACAGTGGTACCTCTAGTTACGAACTTAATTCGTTCCGGAGATCCGTTCTTAACCTGAAACTGTTCTTAACCAGAGGCGTGCTTTCGCTAATGGGGCCTCTTGCTGCTGCTGCGCCGCTGGCACACGATTTCCGTTCTCATCCTGGGGCAAAGTTCTCAACTCGAGGTAACTCTTCCAGATTAGCGGAATTTGTAACCTGAAGCGTTTATAACCTGAGGTGTTTGTAACTCGAGGTACCACTGTATTTGCAAGGTGGTTGTGCGTTTTGGTTATCTGTAGGTAGCGTAGCAAGCTATGCCGTGGATTAAGTGTTTGCAACAAGTTGTCTTTTCCATGCCAAGTGCTTTCATTGTATCTCTATGAGCAGTGCAAGCTCCAAGCCACCTTAAAAATGTGTTTGGCAAATTCATATATTGTGCAGTAAAGATCAGGGCTCAATAGTTTTCAGTGGTTGTGTACATTGATATGCTGGTCATGCCTTTCAAGATGCAGGCAGCCAACAAGAAAAGCAAGAGGTTTACAATAGAAAACAGTATCTCTCTCTTCCAGTTTATAACCAGCAGAATAAACTGGGTGGTCCAGAGCTCGGCTGTAGATTACCTGCACCTGATGCTTGTGTCAATGAAATGGCTCCTTGAGGAGTTCAGCATTGATGGGCGGTTCTGTATCAGCATCCATGACGAAGTGCGATACCTGGTGCAAAGTGAGGATCGCTACCGGGCAGCTCTCGCCCTGCAGATCACGAACCTCCTTACACGGTAAGCACCATTTTTGTCATGGCATTCCACAGGCCAATGTTCAGGATATCTGTTCAGCTGGAAAATAAGGGATTGCCTGAGAGATTTCTTATAATACTAGCCTATCTTCCATGGCTGAGAGCAAATGTATGAAGCACTTGGGAAAGCAACTACATAGAGAAGGCATAGTATCAAATTTGGGGTTGTGGGACTCTCCAAATCCTTGCAATAAATACTTTCTCTGGGTTGAGTGAACGAGGTGTCCATCTCCACCTGGGAGATATGAGGAACCACATGACCAGCTTTTATAGACTATCCTCCACTGGTGTGTCACTCCTGTCCTTGCCTCATGTTCCTGTGAGTTCTGGCTGGGGAAAAAGCGCTGACTGTCCGAGGCATTATGCCTCTGAGTATCAGCTGCTGGCAATCACAAGTAGAGAGAGCACTACTGCACTCAGATGAGTTCGGGTTTGTTTGTTTGTCTTTAAAAAAGAAAAATAATTGTAAAATCATGTGAGGATTTGGGCCTGTAGTTGATGTGATAACTGAAAGCTGACACCTTTCAGAAGAATTTCCTAAATTCTGTACTACTTGCATTGCTTGTATTTTCAGGTGCATGTTTTCATATAAACTGGGTATTCAAGATCTGCCTCAGTCAGTGGCCTTCTTTAGTGCTGTGGACATTGATCGGTGCTTAAGGAAAGAGGTGACGATGGATTGTGTCACTCCATCTAACCCAACAGGGATGGAAAGAAGATACAATATTCCTCAGGGTGAGTATTGTGCCACTTTCTTAATGCTAGAGAAGCTAGCACCTCCTTTTCTCACAGAAATATTATCTGAATCCTGTTGTGCTACTACTGAATAATAAATAATCTATGTCTACTCATTGGAATAGCCATATAAACCAGGAGCGCCATATATATTGATCCACTTTGCATATAACACTAAGCCAAACCATGGTTCAGCACCAATGAGTGAGTTCCTGGAATGAAGATCATAGTTGCTGTCCTACTTCCCAGCAAAGGGTAGCTTGTCTCATTATGGATGAACCAGTTTGTCTAGAGTGAGGCAAACCACAAGACTGGCTTCAGATGCAATGCGGGAAGCACAGCAGCAAGACTGGCATGAGCACAACAGCCATGATCTGCACTATGGGAACCCATGACTGTTCATTTGCACTAAGCCATGGTTTTATGTGCTAACTAGACCATCCCCAGTGTATGGTTTTGGCCAAAAACTTGTTGAACTGGAAGGCTTTAAAAGCACATTTACAAGGCTTTGCTTGGATCTCCTTTCTCCAGAATTTGTCCTCGGAGTGAGTCCAGGAGCCAGGCTTGCACTTGCATGTTCCCTTCGCCATAGGAAGAAGAGTGACAAAATAGATCCCTATCTGCTTCTGTAGCACTGGGGCTGCCACTCCTGCTTGTGTTGCTCTGCTACCCCTCTTGTTTACACAAGCACCATCACTGTTGCAAGGCTCATTTCCTTAATGACAAGCAGCCCTCATTCAGCCAGGCCACTCACTCATTTGGATCTCGGGCTTCCTTGTTTTGTGTGTGTGTGTGTGTGTGTGCACATGCAAGCAGGCATCGACAACACAGGGAACATGGGAAGGCCTTCCTGGGCCACCTGCCTGCTCACTCACCTCACCTGCTGTTGTCATGTTGTTTGTGTTGCTGCCACAAGAACTGAGTATGATAACACCTTACATTGTTGTGCATGTAGAAAAACAGCCCTATTACCCAGCAGAAAACCTCACTCAATTCACTGACACTTATACTTGGGTAAGTATGCACAGCAGCCTTAGTTTCCCACAGAAAGGAGAGAATCCATCTTCACAATAACTGTGGGATGTCCCAGTCAGTCTGTTTCTTTGCCCAATGTAACATTTTATTATGCTTTGATACATTTGCACAGGGAAGGCGTTCTGCAACATCTGGCTTTCCCATATTGCTTGTTCTCACTCCATCAGCTCTAGGCTTGTTATCCAGCCACTGACTGGAAATAGTGCAAAGGTACAGTGTAAAAAACAGAGTGCTTACAAACACTTCAAGATGAAATCTTGTCTCACAAGTAGTAATTATGCTCAGCACTTAACATAATCACTTTTTAATTGGCATGAATTAATGAGTGTTTAGACAACTTATAACTAAAGCTTGTTAATTATTGAGCTGCAATGGCAATTTTGTTGCAACTATGACAGCTTGAGAAGACACCACTGCAGGAGAAGGGTTCGTGTATTTTATTAAATTAAGCTCTGGCAGGAATGCTTTAAAGCAAATCTTTTAGGGAAAATGCATTTTAGAAAAATGGCAGTCAGTCCTAGATTGGGGAATATTCTCCACCATTCTCTTGTAATATCAGTAGTTTTGGAATAAACAGTGTGTTGATTACTTGTTCTATTCCCTTCCCAGCTTGCTAGCTATTTGAAGATCAACAAGTAGATCTCAAAGTGGTTTTCAGTATCTGTTGTGTGGCTGGGGGGTGTAAACATGACTTATTTAATTTCTTTCAGGTGATGCTCTTGATATATATCAACTTCTCAAAATAACCAAAGGGTCATTGCAGAAACAAAAATAGGGTGCAAGACTTCAACTGATGGGAAACCTACCAGCTCAGTGGATCCTCCCAGAAGCAGCTTAAGCAAGGAGACCTGCCCACTCCCTGTGATTTGCGCTTTTTCACTGAGAAGAGGGAGAAGACTTCGGGGCTATCATTAAAACAGGCTACAGCTGCAAAGGTGAATCACTGACAGAACATCCAGACAGGGCCAGGAGGACAGATTGCACTTTAACTGGGCTGTGCCAGGATGGTTATTCAGTAGCCTGTTGTGGTACAAGCATTCAGAGAATTGCATGTCATTCGTATGGCAAGCAGAAACCTAATTAAAGCCCATCTTAAAAATGAGACCTTCATCTTTCTCCATTAATGCTTCGCAGGGCAAGCAGAACCAAGCTACAGTAGTCACTTGGGAATGACCAAGGCAGCTCTTATTTTTTACGTCGCCTCTTAGTTTTGGGTTCCTGGCTGGTGTTGGATTGGGTAGATGCAGTGCTCTAAAAGAGATGAAAACAGGCTATTAGTAAATGCGCCAAAGGAGTCCTGAGTTACTGAAACACAATTTTAAAACCTGCTGTTTAAAGCAATTTTTACTCTGAAAAACACCTCTGAAAATTAACTTCTGCTAGAAAAGTGTCATGTTCTTCATTTTTGTCATCTCATTAGCATTCATGTGTCTTCCTCACCCCCACAGAGGCTGCTGAGACTCAGTGGTGAAATTGAGTAGTCAGGATGATGCAAAGGGATATTCCCCACACTTCAAAACAAGTTGCCATTGTACAGAAATGGGTATTTACCATTAGCATACAACTGACTAAGCTTCATATGAATTTCATAGAAGGCACTTTGGAAGTACAGATTTACATTTATATTGGCAGAAAATAGATTGCATCTTTTTAGAATGTCTACTACTGACCTGGTCGTTGGCTGGCTCATTCTCCCTATCTTCAGCATTTTGTTCCTGTAGAGCGTTCTCCAAAGTAGACACATTGATACGGAAGTCCCGGGAGGTGCTCAGTTTCATATATTGCATCAGGTTGACCTGCAGCAAGCAGCCCAAGGGGTAGTCAGAGTGAAAGCTTGCACCACCTATAGGCATAGCTTATGAAAACTTAAATGTAGAAGCAAAAAAAACCCAAGTTTATCCACAACTTTTCATCACAAGTTACCTCAAAGCCATTTACATACTGAAAATTACAGAACACAAATAGTAAGATATCAGTAGTAAAAATCACAGTGTCAAGGCTCAAAAAGTTAGTGAAAACATGTACTTTTTTGTGCCAAAAGTGACTCAGACCATACCGAATCAATATCATAAATATTGGATACATAAAGGAGCAGGTGTCCCTTATTCTAAGATCTATATCCCTGATGAACAGCACTTTGAAGCACAGAAGGTATTTGTCTATTTACAGAAAAGATTACTAATTATTACAAACATTACTTTTATTCTTTTTGTCTGTATTCCTTGCAAACGGTAGACACAGGCCTTTCTGGGTTTCATCTTGGGTTCTAACAGACGTGACTCATTGCACCAAAGTATTTGATAAAGATTACCAATTACATATACAAAATGTATCTGATAAATGAGTAGTCTATTCAGCAAGGACAGTCCTTCATTTGAACTGCTTAGCTTTTTAAGTGTCAATAAAAATAATAATTCAATTTCCTGTTAACTTGCATAATTTTCATGGAATCAGAGTTGGAAGGGACCATGGGGGGCATCTAGTCCAACCACCTGCAATTCAGGAATCTCTTGGCCCAGTGTGGCCCCATGACCCTAAGATTAAGAGTCTAATGCTCTACCAGCTGAGCTATCCTAAGAAGTTGCCAGGGTGTGCCCGAAAGTTGCAGCTACATTCTTAGACTAGAATGTTACCTTTGACTTTTTTGAGAGATGGATCAGAAAATTCTCATATTGTTCTATGGCAAAAATCAAGTTAGGAATTGGCTTGGATTCCCGCAACACTTTGGCCTACAGAGGGAAGGAAAGCATTGAAGTGTATTAAATACAGTGGCAGCACAATTACAGGATCTCACAGTAAATAGCTATGTAGGCCTTTCAAATATTTTTAATATCATTTCAGGGTGAGTATTATCCACATGATTAGGGAACCAAATGCTAAGGAGATATAGATGCTCTGAATTTGATTAAACCCTGAGCGACAAAACTGACTTGAAAAACATAGCTATTCAAGGCTTTGTGCAAGTTTATCTGTCCTCCACAATTCAAACTGCACCTGTGAGTATTCAATGGTAGTTTATGCTGCCATCCTCTGCTACTGAAGGAGCAGAGACTTAAGGCTTTAAGTACATCCCATTGAAACTCAATTAAATAACTAAGGGTCCAGTGTATTTCTGGGCAGAAATAACCATCCTCACCATGACGGTGGACACCTCAGCTGTTGTCTTCTCCTTTTTCTTCTTTTTCTTTTCTCCTGCCAAGCTCAAGGTTTCACTCTGGATATTCTGAAAGGAGAAGTTGCTTGGCATGTAAAGATAGGGGATTGAGTTTCTGTATTATAGGGTTAACAAGCTGGTATAAAATGTTGGAGCAATTCATAAAAAGAGAAAGCCCCTTTTACAGGGAGTGTTCATTGCTGAATTTATATTTGGGTTTAATCCAGACCTATCCTCCTCTCCCTTCTTGCTACTCCAGTTCTGGTCTTCCCATTGACCTTTCCATAGTCCTCACTCTGAAGAAGTCATATTTTGCAATCGTAATCCATCTTTGCAGGAAATACTGAGCCCCTCATCCATACCACACCTTCGTTAAATAAGGGCAGGACAGTTCTGTAGTCTGCAGTTTTTTGCTGCACAGAACACAGAGTAAGAGTAGGATAGTGCCAAAATTCACCATATCAGTACCTCCCAGATTTAAAACACGACTTGGTCTAGTCAGAAGAATACGTTCCATTCTTTTCTATTATTGTTAGGATTCTCATTTTCCTGTCTTGCCACTGATAACAACATTCTCTGCATTTTTGAGCAGGGCTATTTATGCTGAGAGCATAGGAAATTGTGCCGGGTACAGAATTTAGCTTCCTCAGCATCACAGCTTTCACCAAAACAGAGCAGTCTCTTTAAATGAACCTCAAGGCAGCAAGCACAGGTATGGTCCCATCTAGGCACTGACCAGACCCAAACCCACTTGGCTTCAGCAAGGTTGATGCCTCCTGTGCCGTCAGCATATGTAAATGCTGTTTTCCCCTAGGTTAATAGATGCACTGTTTGGGATTGGGAGTGTGAAATGGGAAATTCAAATTTTTGGCTTACCTGCACATATGTGATGAAGGCATAACACTGGGGGGTCAAGTGGGAGCCAGAGAGTCTAACCTAGAGAAGATAATGCCACTTATTTCAAGAATTTTCTTGGAATTAAAGCAGAAAACATTTATTCAGCACCTACTAACAGGCATTGTACAGGATCACGTAACACCCACCAGCTTTTCTAGCCGTCCTGGAATCGCCCATGTTGTGGTTCGGCACACTTGGAGATACTAAAAAAAAAGCAATGCAAGAGGACATGGTATATGAGCCACAGGAACTCCCTGCTACAGAATGGAAATGGTCTGGGCATCCTTGCCTGTTGTTAGCATTTGTGTTGTGTAAGATCAGCAGCAGAGATCCTACAGAAATAATACTTTTGGCGACCCCCTCAACTGAAATTTGGCAGGTAGCAATTTATTAAGAGTCAGGATATTCTTAGTAGTGGTGGCCTTCCACTGGGATTTTCTGCCCAAGTAGGCTAACGTAAACTACCGTAAGAATTAGTCAGGCTACATAGCAGGTTATACATTTTAGAAACAAACTTGCATGATCTATGCACTACTGGCTACCTGAGAGTAGCCCACCATCAGTTTTTAGGCATCTAGGCTAAGTTGGGCTTAGGAAAAGTTGATGATCAGGCCCTCAAACCCAAACCTCATGCCTCAGGTCAAGAGCACTCACATATTTTACAAGACTTGTAAGAGTGGTGTACATCTTGCTGACACTCCTGAGCAGTGTGTCCACACAGCTTCCCGGAGGCAAGGCTGTTTGTACCAGCTCATGGTATGCAGTTAACAAAGTCCCAAGCTGAAGAATGATTGCCTTTTCCAGAGGCTGGGTTGGGTTTGTTGCTTGAGAGGCATCTTCTACAAAAGGAAGGAAAAAGCTTCGTAAAAACCACAAAGACAAAGGTCATTGAGATCTAGAAATAGTCACATAGCCTGTTTGAATGGGTGTGCACTCCCCTTTAAAAATCAGGTACACAGTTTAAACGTGTTCCAAGTTCAAGCCCAGTTCCTGGTTGGTCAAATAACAGCAGCATCAATTAAGTTCACTTCTTACAGCTTTGATTTATGTGTCTTTTCCTTGAGATGCTGGCCTTGATCATCATATCCTGGTCACTACTGGAACAAGCTCTACTTGGTGGTGTCCTTGAATTCAGTTTGGAAATTTTAGTTGGTCTAGAATGTGGCTGTCATCTGTACTGATTAACAAATTTGTTCCTGAGCTTAATTCAAACAATTTCACAGAGTTGACCATGTTTGGGACAGATGGACTTTTTTTGTCCTATGAAAACTTGTTTCTCTTGGGTCTTTTCCTAAAAACTGTGCCAAAAGGCCTTTTGTCCCTGATCCTGTGTTGTTTTTTCTTGACTTGACAATAAGGATGAGAGTGGGAATTGTCAGCTGAGCTGTTCATACTTCTTAACAAGAGACAACCCAATAGGACACCATTTGAGAACTAGTGTTCTTTTTCTTACCTGCTGCCTCCAGTCCCAGATGACTCTTCATCTTATTGATCAGCCAGTCCACCTCTTCGAGGACCTTCTCTGCTCGACTCAAAATCAGTAACTAAGAAGAGAAGAAGAGTTTGGATTTGATATCCCGCTTTATCACTTCCCGAAGGAATCTCAAAGCGGCTAACATTCTCCTTTCCCTTCCTCCCCCACAACAAACACTCTGTGAGGTGAGTGGGGCTGAGAGACTTCAAAGAAGTGTGACTAGCCCAAGGTCACCCAGCAGCTGCATGTGGAGGAGCGGAGACGCGAACCTGGTTCCCCAGATTACGAGTCTATCGCACTTAACCACTACACCACACTGGCTCTAAGAGAGAAAGAAATTGCTTTGGATAGCACAATGTGCCTTGCAGCCATAGGAAATTGCCAAGTAGAATTTACTTGTCACATTTATGTATCACTTTTCATTAAATTTGAACCTAGTTTTGTGTTGTGTTTTTTGTTTTGTTTTTACACCAACTCACACAAGCTGTAGGAGCTGCTGTCTTGGCATTCACAATAGCAAAGTGGGACTGGTGCTCCATTTCAATATCCTAGGTAGAGAGTGGGGGATTAAAAAGATGAAACAAACAGTAATTTAGATACCTATCTTTTATTATTATTATTATTATTATTATTATTATTATTATTATTCCACCATTCCTTTTTATCTTCACAACAACCCCACGAGGTAGGATAGGATAATAGTCACTGGTTCAGTGTCACTCAAGTGAGCTTGGTCTCTAAATGGGAATTTGAACCCAAATTTCTCTGGTCTAACACTCTAAACACTACACCAGCCTGATTCTACGTTCTTTCAACAGCTATATCCAGGAAGGGGATTTGGGGATACAGAACAAGCGCACAAGCTCTGCATTGGCAAATACATGCAGACTGATAAGCTCAGTCTAAAAGGCCCAACTGATATGTTACCTGGTCTATGTCCCCAAGCTGAGCATGGATATCCTGGGCAAGCTCACGCAATACACTGCCTGGGCTCTTGATGAGAACATGCAGACTGAAGAGCAGGGCTAGCAAGCCCTTGCAGCAAGGGGCGTCATCTGTGGAGAGCGAAAACACAAGTCAGCTTTGGAGACACCATGGCTGGTCTACTGGGTCAGGCCAACAACCAACCCAGCCCAGCATTCCATCTCTTAACAGGCCTTCTGCAAATCTAACACTGCTTAATCTGCTTTTCTCATGTTCAAAGCAAATTAAAGTTAGCATACTCGCACTCTATCATAATTTTCACTAACCAGGGCTAAAGGTAAAGGGTAAAGGGACCCCTGACCATTAGGTACAGTTGTGACCGACTCTGGGGTTGCGTGCTCATCTCGCTCTATAGGCCGAGGGAGCCGGTGTTTGTCCGCAGACAGCTTCCGGGTCATGTGGCCAGCATGACTAAGCCGCTTCTGGCGAACCAGAGCAGCACATGGAAACGCCGTTTACCTTCCCGCCAGAGCGGTACCTATTTATCTACTTGCACTTTGACGTGCTTTCGAACTGCTAGGTTGGCAGGAGCAGGGACTGAGCAACGGGAGCTCACCCCGTCACGGGGATTTGAACCGCTGACCTTCTGATCGGCAAGTCCTAGGCTCTGTGTTTTAACCCACAGCGCCACCCGCATCCCGTAACCAGGGCTAAAAAGTGCTATTTAGTGCTGCTTTTGTCAAAAACACCGAAACAGGCATAATGCTGACCACAGTTCCAAAAATGGTAAGTAAGTAAGGAAGGGAGAGAGAAAGAAGAGAATGTGAACCCACAGGATGCAACCTAATCATGGCAAGGAAATCAAGCAGTCTTGCACTTGCATTGGGTCGCATGAAGATGGTTAGTGGCCTGAACTTCTGTCAAACAACTTTGGGTACCTTATCTCCCATTAATTTATTTAACCCTTTCTTTAAACCTGGATGCTACATTTCATTTGATGACCTAAGCTGCAGATGTCATAAGGCCTAAGGCAGGGGAACGAAGTCTTACCTGGTCAGAAATCTTACCTAGGCTAGTTTCCTTGCAAATCTTGACTGTCCAGGATAACAGCTGCATGAACTGCACAAGAAGAGAGAGGGTGACTTTACTCAGTACAGAATTATTAGTGTTTATGTTGTTGTAAAGCCACCATGAGAGCTGTTTTCAATGTGGGTTGAAAGGCAGATCAGAAGAGTTAAGAGATAATAAATAAATGATACGTATTAAAAGCAAGCGTTTAATCAGATAGATTGGACTGAGGGCTGGTCCACATGTAACACAGAGACCAGCTTAAACATGAGGAACAGCTGACGGATCAGGCCAGTGGCATCACTCTGCAGTATATACCTGGAGGGAGGAGGGCTCCAACAGTTTGGAAAGAGTTGCAAGGATGTTGATTAACAGAAGTGCTTCCTTGCTGCTGAAGTCATCGTCAGCGTTGCTGAGCTGGTTCACTAATGACCTCTGAGAAGGAGGGAGAAAGGAAAATAGATTGCATGAGCAAACAACAAATGTAGGAAAGCAATGAAAGGAGGGGAGGAAGGTGGGGTGAACACTTTTTGAGACTCAAACTTTCTGTTCCTATCCAAGTATTCTTAGGCAGTTCCCTAAGTAGGAGATGCTCCTTTCCTAGATCTGCTCCAATGGCTTTGCAAATTGTAAGCAGCAAACTGAGAGCACAGGCCCAGTATCTCTGCCTGCATCCTCCTGAACAAGAGTCGATCCATCCCTTCAAGCAGTTCAACCCTAACATCACCTTTCTGCAGTTCACCTGAAACTGTCGAATCTGAAAGGCTGCTTTCTCAGTGACGTTAACGTCTTCGTCTTCTTCCGCATCTTCATTTGCAATATCTGGCAAAAAGGAAAAAAAGGAGGAGGGAGAATAGCAACAAGGTAGAAGCTGAGATCAGGAGAGAGAATTCATCACAGCTATGCACATGGAGATTATCATTACTTTGAAAAGCAGTGGCCGGCAGTATATTTGTTTATATTTATAAAAATACTTGTATGCTGCAGTTTCTTTAAAAAATATCAGTAGTCTACAATAATTTTATATGCATATACAATAAAAACACCATGCAAAAACTTAAATTCACAGATCATCAGCTCACTTTGACAAAAGATAGATTTATTAATTGTCTGCATAATCTTGGCAGCATAGAAAAGTGTTTAGTAGACACCCAGAGGTTAACAAAGAAGGGGCCTGCAGAATCTTTACAGAAAGAGCATTCCGCAGGAGTGTTCCGATGACTCTTCCAGCCCCTTCACTGACAATTCAGCAGAAAACGAGCCTTATAGCTTACCCAGTGCCTGCAGAAACTGTGGGATCTTTGCTGGATACAGCTGTTGCACGGTGTTAAAGATCCGCAGCAAACCCTCCAAGCACAACAGTGAGATGCTCTTGCCCTTCTCCTTCTTGCCTGATTCTTCAGCTGCGGTTGGGATTGAGGTGTATCTCCACAGCAGGACTCTTTGGGGAAAGGGGGAAAGTAGGGGGTGATTTAAGGCAGGCTTAATGGCCATGTGTGATGACTAGGAACAGCCAACTCTTGTACCCAAACTACTCATCCGCTATTACTGTGCTTAACTCTCTATTCATGCATGCAGAGGAGGGTGGGAGCAGAAGTTCACGTCAAGTCATCTCTTACATGCACCTCTTGCTCAGTACTGTCAAAGTTAGTACAGTGGTACCTTGGGTTACAGACGCTTCAGGTTACAGACTCCACTAACCCAGAAATAGTACCTCGGGTTAAGAACTTTGCTTCAAGATAAGAACAGAAATCGCACGACGACTGCGCAGCGGCAGCAGGAGGTCTCATTAGCTAAAGTGGTGTCTCAGGTTAAGAACAGTTTCAGGTTAAGAATGGACCTCCGGAACGAATTAAGTTCTTAACCCGAGGTACCACTGTACAGTCAAAGTCAGGCTTGCACAGTTTGTGGCCAACGAAACCATGCACAGCCAGCAAGCCACACACTGGGCATGCCAGCTGCTTGATAATTTCTCAGGTTTCTGCCGTCTCAGGCAGGCAGCAAAAACAGAATGAAAATCAAATCCCTGGTCGTCCACTATATATAGCTGACAAGCTGCACCCTGCTGAATGGGTGCATCTTATGACATCTTATGACAAGTCCTTCATTATGGCTAGGACTTCCTCAGTCTTCAGTGGCACAATGTGATCCCAGTAAGAACTGGCCAGGAGTCCACCTAGTCCAGCATTCCATTCTCACAGCGGCCAGCCTGTGGGAAGCCTGCAAGCAAGAGCTGAGAGCAAGAGCATTCTCCCCTCATGTGGTTTCCAGCAACTGATATTCAGAAGCGTCACTGCCTCTGACGGTGGAGGCAGAACATAGCCATTGGGGTTGGCAGTTGTGTACTTAACATGCTGCAGCCTGTGCAGGGAACCTGGCATCCCTCCACTAGTGTATCATTCACCATTGTAGCTGGTGAATTTGGGTAGAGAACCCAGAAAAATGTATGTCCTCCCCTGGACTTCATTCCGCCCCTACTGCCGTTGAGAAAGAGCAGAGCGGCGTGGGTGGACACAACTTAGGCAAAGAATTCCAGCCCCAGAGAGATGGAAAACACCTGGTTGCTATTAAGCCTAGAAGCCTACCTCCCCACCCCCCTGGCTTCTGTGGGAGTCAGCAACATCAGCAAGAGGGTAGGGGAGATGATTTTAAGAATCACTGCCTCTGCATTGCCTCCAGCAGTCAAGAGTGCTGAGGACTGGGAGTTATGGATACCAGTAACAGCAGAAATGCCTGATGGACTCTTAACTTCCCTTTGCCCCCACTGTCCCTGAGGAAGAGCAGAGTCAGGGGAGGCATAGCAGATGAACATCTGTTCAGGTTTGCTTGCTATCATTGGGAACCACCGGCATACCTAAGACAGGCAGCTTCAAGAAACAGCTCATTTCTCTTGCCTTGGGGATTCTCTCAAGCCAGAAGGATAAAAAATATTCAGGATGCATATTCTTCTTGCCTAGATACACTTTATGATGGCAGTATCTTCTGCCTGTATTATAGAACTGAATTTATTATTGGAAACCTCTATACGATATTGTTTACAATATTGCAAAAACTGTACAAAACAGTTTGACTTAACTAACTACTGCAGAAGTCTGCTGCTCAGTGGCCTCAAAGACCAAGAGGCTACTTGCTCAGAATCCCAACACTGGCTTAGTTTCAAACTCCACTTTGTTTTCTTTATCCATTTTTTAATATGTAAGAGCTTGAGATATTTAAGAGGTACCCTTTACTAATACCACACCAAAGTCTTCAGGCCATGGGACTCACCGAGTGATTCTACAGAGGTTCTGGAACATCTTATCTCTGTTCTGCCCATCAGGCCCATCTGTTTGTCCCGTCTCCTCCAACTGCTGTACTTTCTGCAAGGCCACACTGACAGCATAGCGCATGAACTCACTGCTGGAGCGCAGAACGGCCAAGCTCTCCTCGTGGTTCTGGGAACAGTCCCTGGGGCATCAGAAGAAAGCAAATTCTCAATGGTTGTCAACATGGCAAAAAAGGAATCAGGGATGGAGCCAGAGGAGAAAGTGGTGTAATCTCAGGTGACTTAAGCTACCACTAAGATTGGGTAAAAGCACAATCAGGTATCAAGAGAGATACAAAATTTCTAGATACCCTAGATGAATGTGCCTTGAAACACAGGTCCTTACCTGAAGAGACTTGTAAGTAACGTGCACACAAAACCCATGGAAAGGAAGCTTCGGGCAATTTTATTTGCCGAAGTGGGTTTGTTCTTCCCAGCTTTCTCTTTCAGGATTTCGCAAAGTTTGGTATAGCACTTGAACAGGCCCAGAACATCTTCAAACTTGCTCTTGCTGCGACACACATTGCAGAAATAAAAATGCAAAAAACTATGAAACAAATGATTTCAAAACAGAACCTAGGTATTTTTATTTCGTGTTTCACTCATGAAACACACAGACAAACATGCAGATATTAGTCATTCACTAGAATGGACAGGTAACTTAGTTGGACCCATTTGCAAAGCTGTTTTAAAAGAAATTGAGGGAGGATAGGACAAAGTAACGTCTGAACTAATTTCCATCCTACTGGGATTAAAGGACCACTACTACACGAGGAGAGCTGGGATGAACACCACTGGCAGTCACCTGAACCCAGAACCTCCAGAGACTTAGTCAAGGGCCCAAGTGTTAAGCTCAACAAGACCATCTAGGTTTTCTCACTATTTCTGCTATCAGGAATTGTGTTGAACTTGCAAGATCTGTCCCATGCAGTTTGCAGCTGGGAAGTCCTGCGGGCTGTATGCGTAGATGCTGGTGGAGGGCAGAGGGAGGGAGGATAATTTCATTCCTTACCTGAAATTCCCTATGCTAAAGTTGTACTCAATCAGGACCTCACAGACGCCCATCACTAAAATAGCGTAGATATTGTTCTTCAAGCCCACTCCTGTAGACTGAGAGAAGTCTGCCGACTTATCCTGAGCATAAAAAGCAAAGAAATTAAAATCTCATCTCCAGGACTTTGCAGAAAGAAAGAAAGGAGCAGTCTTCTCCCTTCCTGTTCCTAACTTACCAGTTCAAAATCTTCTAATTCACTCTTGATCATTCGCCGTGTGATCGACTCCAGCATCTCCTCCAAGTCTTGCTGGAGACCCTTATTATCATCATCATCTTCTTCTTCTTCTTGTTCTTCTTCTTCCTCAGCCTGTCGGCGCAGGCTTAAGGTGCTCTTATACCAGGTCAGACAATGCTGAATACAGCAGAGTAAGTGAGCCTGAAGGAAATTGCAGCATCAATCATTAATGGTCATGCAGGTTGCTCAGATGCCTCCTCCCTCCTCAGGAAAATGTTCTTGCAACAGATACCAGCTTCATATAACCACCATGCTTAAGTCAAATTAATGCACAGAGGGGTTAATACTATACAGCAGTGGTTTTCAACCAGTGTGCTGTGGCACCCTGGGGTGCCTTGAATGATGGCCAGGGGTGGTACGGGCAACACTGGCCTCTGTCCCTCTTTCTTTCCCTCCCTACTCTGATGTCCTCTTGCATCTCTGCATCCCAAAGGCTTGTACAGCTGTTTATTGCAGCAGTCCTGGCTATAAGCTCCACATGCAAATGGTGCCTCTGGGAGACCAAGGAGAGGGGAGAGGAGGCTGAGGGAACCCTCCACAAGGGAGGATGTTTGAAAAAGGGCAAGAGGCTGCCAGCTCTGCAGGCAAGGGGTGGCATAACTGGACTTCTGAGCCCCACAGGGGTGCTGCAGAAAGAATGGAGTTGATCAAGCCGTGGACCCAAAAAAGGTTGAAAACTTCTGCTATACAGTAATCTGTTCTGCCAGGGCCAAGCTGGACAGGACACCATTCACGCCATTTCACTAATAGTGCGGGTGGGCCTTTAACCCTCCCCCAGCTGCCTCCCTTCTGCTTCTGATTCAGGCCCAGCAGCTGCTAACCGCTCTGGAAGCTTTTCTTCCAAAGCAGTGCAGAGTAATGCATTGTTTAAGATAAAAGGACCTGCAGTTTATTTATTTATTTATTTTATTTAATAAATTTATATATTGCTTGTTAAAAAGAACAAACAAACCTCAAAGTGGTTTACAAAAAAGATAAAACAATAAAATGGAGGAAAAAATCACAACCGTACTTTAAAAACATACAAAAGTAAAAATACTGAAACGGATTAAAATTACCCCAACTTTCTAAGCATCTGGTTAGGCTTGTCTAAAGGTAAAGGGACCCCTGATCATTAGGTCCAGTCGTGGCTGACTCTGGGGTTGTGGTGCTCATCTCGTTTTATTGGCCGAGGGAGCCGGCGTACAGCTTCCGGGTCATGTGGCCAGCATGACAAAGCCGATTCTGATGAACCAGAGCAGCACACGGAAACGCCGTTTACCTTACCGCCGGAGCGGTACCTATTTATCTGCTTGCACTTTGACGTGCTTTCGAACTGCTAGGTTGGCAGGAGCAGGGACCAAGCAACGGGAGCTCACCCCGTCACGGGGATTCGAACCGCCAACCTTCTGATAGGCAAGTCCTAGGCTCTGTGGTTTAACCCACAGCACCACCTGCGTCCCTTGTCTCGTAGGTGCCAAAAAGAGTACAGTGATGGCACCTGCTTGATCTCAATAGGCAGGAAGTTCCAAAGTTCAGGTGCTGCCACACGAAGTGATCAAGTTCTTACAAATATGGAATGGGTATTATGTGGCGTCTGTAGTGGTGCCAGTTCTTAATTTATGAGAAATATGCTGGCACTTTCCTTTGAAAGATGCTAGTTACAAGCTCCAGATATCAGTGGAACTGAAAACAAACTTTTAACAGCCATTATCCAAGTGACTCAATCCTTCAACGCTCTCACCAAAGGTTCTTGCAGGAAGATTTGGTCTCTCTGTGCCAGGATGCATCCCTCTAGTTTTAACGGGGGCAGCAGGTCAGGTTCTGGCTCATAATACCGCTTTATCTGCCACAATAAATAAGGAACAACATTTTACAAGTGAGAATCATCCCACTTTACTGCCAGGCAGGAGAGGGAACAGGGGAGAAAGGCTAAGCATCTGAATTAAAGTTAGAAAGAAAAAACAAATCTTCCCTAGCTTAGGATTGCTGAACTAGGGTGAAAACAGATACATACTTCCTACCCACACTTCTCTGCCCAGGAACAGGAATAGTCTTTTTCCACCACCATGTGTGAAATCCACTGACATACATACCTGGCTCAAATATACATCAGTACAGATTTTCAACCCTCTCCTCCCACTACCCCCTGCTCCCATTTAAACCAGCATCCCCCCCCCCCAGGTGCCTGACATGTTTTTCTATTTAAATAGTTAAAAAAACAACCAATCACCAACTCTATGCTCCTTTGTTTTTAAACTTAAAGCAATGCTCTGGGCAGCGAGAGAGGGAGGTGGAAAGCAAGTGTCTTTATGACTGACACAAAGGGAAGCCAATTAACCTTCTGCACATACAGCTTCACCTGGAAACAGGAGAGACAGCTTACTCCCAAGTTTGGGAGTTTGTACATCTGTCCAAAAAGGAGGGGGAAGCATGAATCCACATCTCAAGTGCATTGCTCAAGATATGTGCATTTGCCTTCTCTCTTAGGAAACTGATGCACCGCTTACTGACCTTCCATTCGTTTTATTTCCCCCACCACCATGCGGCTTCTAATACTTGTATTGAGTTTCAGGTGCTTTGAAGCAGAGTTGGAGAACCCCAGGCCCAGGGGCCAAATGTAGCTCTCTGGCCACCTCTCTACCTGAGCCCCAGGACTCTCCCCAGGCCACAACCTCCACTGACAACGCTTTGCACCCACTTTGAATGATTTTGCCTAGCTGGAACGAGTCCCTGATCTGTGATAATACCTCTTGCTTGCATGGATGAAGGATGGAGAGCAAACACACACAGTGTCTACCTTAAGAGTCACTTCTGTTGCTCTGCCCACTTTTGCCCCTGGTCCCACCCACTTTTTACTTCTTACTCTGCCCGCCACAAGCTTGCATCCCTGAGAAGGTTGCCAATGAGGGAATGAGGTCCATGGAAAGGTTCTCCATCCCTGGTTAAACCATCAATGACTGTACATTTCCCAACGGTGGCAGCCAGAAACGCAGGTATAAGCAGCAGTTTTAAAAAAATAAGAGAGAGAAGGATAAGATTCTAAGTTGATGCACGTCCTCACTTCATCTTATGAGTTACCTCCTCTTGCTGTGTAAACTCTGCTACCCCACCAGATAGCAAAAGCAATGAAGTGTCCTATGGCATCTTAAAAACTAACAAAAAATGGTAACAGAAAAACCTTCCGGGTCTAAGGCTGCCATTTTGTCCGAACCAGGATGCTCTGGTTTGTGCTTTCCCTATTATAAACCTGAATTTGAAACCAGAATCGGAAACTAAGATTGGTAATGGCCCTTGGCTATGCACAATAAAGGCCTGACTTGACTGAGAAGCCAAGATCACACAGGGAGGGGAAGACTGGGGAGAAGAGAGCATGTGAGCCTGGGGCTGGGACATGCAATACCAAACTATGGTTTGTCATACTGTCTGAACCAAGCCTGCAATGTTTTGATCTTGCCATATACCTGAGACAGCAGCATCTCCAGAATGGAATTACTCAGTTGGGAGTTTCTCCGCAGGACATCATAAAAACCCTGAGAGGAAAGAAGGGTTAAAATAATAATAATAGAGCCTTAAAAACACTCACAGGCAATTTTCATCACTGTAGGCAATGGAAGACAACCATGTTGCCTCTGCTGCCTGCCACTATGCTCAGAAGCAAAAACTGATCCTCACAATGTAACACACAAAACCAAATCAGGTCCCATCGCACTGCCATGAAGCACAGCAGAGGTGCGGAAGGGTATTATACAACTAGAGCGCTACAACACACCAGCACACAAACACTTACAGAACACCAGGAACCAGCTTCCCAAAGGCCTGCAGATGCTGACATTAATCCACAACCTCGACACTGCTTGAACCAAAGAAATTATGTGGAACCACGGCCAAAAGGATCCTCCTTACCTCATAGAGCATGAATCTGACATCAGCCTGCTGACTTAAGCATCGCCTCAAACTGCCCAGGATTTCTAGGCAGAAGGCCTCATTGGCTGCTGCGTTATAGCGGGTATGAACATCCACCTGGACCTAGAAGGCAGTAACAGAGTCATGAGAAATCATCTATGGTTTATTATGACTGAAGCCACAATCCTATGTGCCTGGGGCTGCACAGGACCTTTGGGAAGCTGCTGGCTGCTTACCTGACTCGCACCAATTGCCTGGCTGCATTGGGAGGAGGTCAAGCTACCCAGAACCTTAAAATTCTTTAAGAGGAGCAGAAACCCAGCAACTGCTGACTTACGGGCCTCCAGCTGCCTGTGATGGAAACAGAGGCAAGGGAGAACAATTAAGGACACCCATGGATGCTTCTTCTGAGAATTCTGGGGTGCCCTGTCCTCCCTACCTTGTTCATGCTGGACAAAGCTTGATGAGCTGAATTCCCTTAAATAAAAGTTGGAGCGAAGAGATAAAACGACTAACAAACAAACCTAGAGTGGAAAACCACAAAGGTGTGCAGGGTTGCTTGTTTACGGTATGATCAAGTGGATAAAATGTGCTGTGTGTTGTTTTTTAAAAGACAGCAACCCTGTTTTTTAAAGACAGCTACTTTTTTTTACATTTTATCATTGGGACCCATTATTTCTATCAACCAAGCATGATGAACTTTGGTTCATTTTTCATGTCGTGGAGAAACTAATTCCCCCAAGGCTTCCGGAAAGGGCTTGCCCACACTTGTCCTGTGCCTAGAAAGTCATGGGTCCAAGCAGAAAACCTACTATTTTGTGCTAAATCAGAACAAACAGCAATCTGCAGAAAACCCAGTTGCTGTTTGCTCTGATTCAGCGCTAAAGACTGGGTTTTTCCAGCCAGGGGGTGGGGAGAGGCAGGGCAAATGGAGTTGTGGGTAAGCCCTTGGGTAAAAAAACTAACGCAAGCAGAATTTGGAGCGTATGGCACTCCTGGCGACCCCATCTGGCTCTTGGGACTCTCCTCAGGTTACATCCTCCTTTCCACATGTGTTGTTTATGTGATAAAAGCAGTGAGGGGTGGGGGTAGGGAAACCAAGGGACTCCATAGATGTCTATTTACTTTGAAAGCATGAAAAATGGCAGCTTACCCAGAAAACATTGATTTGCGAAGAACAAGGATCAGAGAGTCCCTCATGGACATGCTAATTTTCAGCAGGGGCTGGGAGAAAAAAAGAACGCATTAAACCAAGTGTTCTGCAGTTTCACTAACGGAGCAGCAGCAGGAAGGCCAAGAAGAGAGGAGTGAGGAGGACATTGTATCAGCCTAATCAATGAGCCACGTCAGTCATTCCCAATCTATGAGCCGCAAGAGAACTGCAAGAAATAAACGGGAAGCCCACAAGCAAGATCTGAGTGTAGTGTTTGGTTGACATACAGGTGAAAGCATCACCTAGACTTTAGAATGCCTTGTCAAGGGGAACCTGTCCCACATTCTCCACAACAACTTTATGCCACTATGCAGAAACATCAGTTTTCTAGCAATTGTCTGGCCTGCTGAGTTCTTTGATCTCTGAAACATTAACTTTATATCCCATGCCCTTTCCATCTTTTATTGATTTTTAAATCTACGGATGAGATTGCAAGGTGTCTCAAGGATTTGTTTTAAATGGAAAGAAGGGATAAAAAGATATTTTAATGAATGAATTTAAGAGTAGTAATATATTTTGAAGTATTTTTTTTAATATGCTGCACTCCTTCGTAAGATATTTTGAGGACTTTTTGAGCTGAAAACTGACCAGTATAAAAGAACTTTACCTGCACAGCCTTAAGCAACCCTTGTACTGTGTCAAGAGGCAGGAATGACAAATGATCAAAGGCCTCTGCGACTTTTGAAGAAGACTGCTGAAGGATGAGCGGGGCAGACAGGATAATACCGGACAACAGATCTGAAAGAGAAAACGGTAACAAGGAGAGCTGCAGCCTTCAATAAGAGAAAGAGAAGGCCAAGATGTCAAGAACCAGGGACAGAAAAAGAAGTGCATTTGATTCGTAGGTTCACAGATCAAGAAAAGACAACTGCACAAATTATGAAGTCACCTTCCAAAAAAAGTAGAACAGTGAAAGATAAGAGGTCATACAACTGACTTCTTCAAATATGTACTCACTAAGGATTGAGGGCCAGACACTAAGTATTTCAGACAAAGACCAAAAAGACTCGTGTTCAAAGCCCTAATCAGCCAGGAAGCTCAGTTAGCAAACGAGAGTCAATCTCCATCTCTCAACCTAACCTACATCGCAGGGTTGTTATGAGGATTAAATGGGTATGGGAAAATAACTTTGTATGCAACTGGGGCTCTAATTGGGAATAAACTTCATTTTGACTACAACTGCTACAAACCACTGGTTTTTAGGTTTGGCAGCAATCTGGTGTGATTTCCTTTGCATAAACTCCCTTGGACTTTCTTTGCATAAACTCCCTTTCTGTAAATGGAAAGACTGGTACAGTTTTTCAAAAACAACAAAACATATAATAACAATAAGGTACATGAGAGAGTGTCTAAACCACTGAGCCTCTTGGGCTTGCCGATCGGAAGGTCGGCGGTTCGAATCCCTGCGACTGGGTGAGCTCCCGTTGGTCTGACACAGCTCCTGCCAACCTAGCAGTTTGAAAGCACACCAGTGCAAGTAGATAAATAGGTACCACTGCGGTGGGAAGCTAAACAGCGTTTCCTTGCGCTCTGGTTTCCGTCATGGTGTTTTGTTGTGCCAGAAACAATTTAGTCATGCTGGCCACAGGACCCGGAAAGCTGTCTGTGGACAAACATCAGCTCCCTCGGCCTGAAAGCAAGATGAGCGCCACAACCCCAAAGTCGCCTTTGACTGGACTTAATTGTCCAGAGGTCCTTTACCTTTACATTTTTACACAAGAGAGTATGACTGCTATGTGAGACTTCTACTTCTTAAAGACAGACAATTATGGCTCTGGAAAACAGATGGAGCACCACTCCCTTCTGAAGTTGAGGGAGGAAAGAAACCAAGAAGCTGTTTTATCGAACTGTGCAGACATGAGATCATGAGATTTCCCTTGCAATAATGTGCCCCCTTTGCTCATTTCACAGTTACCTAAGAAGTGGCTGATAGGGGAGCCTGCATTTGTGATGACTCTGTTCAGGACCTGTTCCAGTATTTCACTTCTGATCGGTTCATGGACCTGAAAGCAGACAGGACACTAAAATTCAGTCATAGGTCGACTTTTGAGGCTGTAGCCAGACTTGCAGATTTATCAGACCATAAAAAAAGTTTACTCCAATATTGCTGCTATGACTAACACAGCCCTAACTATGGGGCAAGTGGAAGGAAAGACCCTCACCCGAATTAATGTCCCTCCAGCAAAGGATGATGGATCAGTCACTTTTGGTGCAGACAAAGGCAGCTAGCCAACCTCAAAATGTGTGCATATCACTACTGTGTGCTTAGCTCAGCCTAATCATAAGTTGTGCTCAGAACTGTGACTCGTGCAGGAACGTACAAGGGGTATGCAATTCCTTCTCTTATATGGTGTAAAAGTAAACATTTTTGGATTTAAGGAAGAAAGGTGTGGCTCCAATTTTAACTGGAAGATTCAACAATGTTTGAAATGTTATCAAAGAACTGGAAAAGATAATATAAATCACAGCTGTTTCCCTATAATGGCATCTCCTTACCTTGAAGGCTTCCAATAGGAGATCAGTTCCCAACTTACAAGCTTGCTGGGCTGGAGTTTTGGAAAGGCCGTGGTTCGTTTCCATGACTTTGCCTCCCAAAGTTCTTTTTGGCCCATAGGAGTCCATCAGGATGAATCCAAGATCCACCAGGCCCTGAGTCACATGATCCCAACCGAACACACTGGATGGAGTCATTAAAAGAAGGGAGAGGGAGACAGCAACTTTAAAAGAACATTTACTTTTTATTCATTTGCTTACGGGCTTTGCATATGCATATGGTTCACCACTGTAAGAATAGGTTGCTGAACCAGATGGGCATAAGCAGATTCTTTTTATGTACATTCTTGGGCATGGGCAGAACCGGGCATTTTTGCAAAGGCAACAATACTCTACAGCATCCTTATCTCCCCACTTACTAAATGTGTGCATTACTATCGAAGAATAATGCCAGGGGTTGAGGAGAGAGAAGAGAAACGGTGAGAAATTTGTCCATCAAGTTCTACATTGGTAGACTGCAGAAACTCACCTGTTTGCCACAACTTCCAAAACCACGGCAGATATGTCATAGTTTTGAGGAGCCAATTCCTGCAGGAACTTGGAGCCCTGAAGAAACTGCTTGTCCTTGAAGCTCCTCATAACTGAAGATTTCAAAAAGTCAAAGACCTAAAGCACAAAAGTTGAGTGGGCATGAGAGATTACGCTTGTCCAATTTCCACCACTGAGAGTCCCAGCCAGAACCAAACATTGCATGAACAAACCTGCCAACTAAAAGCTCCATCAGCCCACCTAAATATTCTCTATCAGGCTCACTGATGTAGTCAAGCGCTAGCAGGGAAAGACATACCTGGTCTTCAAATCGGTGTATTCTGGTCACTGAGAGCAGAATGGTTATGCTGAAGGGACACAAGACCTTGCTAAGATCCCCTTGTTGCTCAGTCTACAAAGCATCAAGCAAATGGAGAAAGTTAGAGGGCTTCATATTTATCATGAGATGATTATATATATACTGTGTGTGTGTGTGTGTGTGTGTGTGTGAGAGAGAGAGAGAGAGAGAGAGAGAGAGAGAGAGAGATTTATAAAGTAAATGTTTCATTTTTTATTTAAAACTATAGTTAGAATGGAAGTTAGACCAATAATGAACATGAGTGTTCCTCTTGTCTCAGCGGACTAAGCTTGACAGCTATGTCACTGAATCTGTTTCACCATGTAATTTATTCCACATCGAGCTGTCTTATAGTGACTCAGACCACTGATTCATGTAGCTCAGTGTTTTCTGCAACAGCTAGCATTGGCTTAGTTATTCGGACACATAGTTCTCAGCTTTGGTTGAATGTCCAGCTCTTCTAAACAAAAGTCAAACGCCAAGTTTGCACTTGGATGGCAGAAGCCATCACAGCATTCCCAAAGCCCCTCTGGATCCTTGTGCCCCAAATACTTTTCTCTCCAAAACTTCAACAAAAGTTGGGGATGGTTAGGCAGCAGAGTTGGTTCAAGCCTGTGTAAAGCCTTTCGCTCTCCTTTTTACAGGAAAAGAGACCATCTTGCAAATAGCCTCCCTAAAACAGTCCTCTTTGAGAAACTGCTCTGCTATAAATGCAGTGCTTGGGACTGTTTTGCTCCCACAGCTGTATAAATGCTACAGAGCTGAATTCTGAATCTCCCTTCTACCCCTTTCTCTTTGTCTTGCAGGGAGAAAAAGCCAAAAAGAGGACACAAGTCCAGCCACTAGGTCCATGTGGTTGGGTTAACATGAGCAGGGCTGCCAGATTACTTTGATTTTTGTGTCTCTCTTTCTGCAAAAGAGGGGCTCCATTTGGATGTAACATTCCTGATTTAATAAGTCATAATTTATTAACCTGGGAACAAGCATCAGACCCACAGAGCCACACCCCCCATTTCAACTGCCAGTTTCATCAATGCAATTGTTTAATGTGGTAAGATGACATTACACCACAGCTCCCTATAAATCAGATATAAAGAAGTGTGGCTTAAAACAACCAGGAACACAGTGCCAAAGCCAGCAAGCATTTCACCCAGTTGAAAAAAAATGAAAGCAGGTAAGACATCACAGAATTCTAGGAGTGACTGGCATTCCAAGCCACAATTAGCTTACGTCAGAACAATGTCCCATGGGGTGAGCTCAGTCCTAGAAGACTGCTATCAACAGCTATCTAACATTGGCATAAACAGATTAATGCTACCAATATCTGGCATATCAGCGACATCCTCAGCATCAACATTATGCATTTGATATACCTTTAAGTATTTTATTAGCTCTTTTCCCAAATCCTGGTCCAGAGTAATAGCCAGCACGATATGCAGAATGACGGTGCCTTCCACATGGCGAAGTTGGTCCAGGGGCACTGTGGCTTCTTCAAGGTCCATTGATCTAAAAAGAATCAGTCACAGAGAAGCCAAATATAGAAAGACAGTTGTGGCACAGAGAAACTAAGACAACACATTTGCCCCAGAATCGAAGGTGTCCTTACAGGGAAAAGAGAGTAACAAATATCAGGGCAAAAAAATGAGAATATAAGAGGGGACTCACTCTGAATTTCCCTGCTCTTCTTTTTGCTTTTTATCCATCTGATTGAAAAAGCTGATTATCCCTTCCAAAATGTTTTTCTTGCTGCCCTGAAAGATCACGAGACAAAGTAAACAGAAAGTGCACCACAGTATTACAGTAATAAAGCACAGTAACAATAAACATTCATACAAACATTTGGAGCGAGATTGTGTCTCAGTAGTGCAGTGCATGTTTGGATGCAGAAGGTATCAGATTAAAACTTTCTGGCATCTCCAGTTAAAAGGACCAGGTACCAGGAGAGCTCTTCGCAAGACCCTGAAAAACTTCTAACGATCAGACTAGGCAATGCTGGGCTGAATTAGAAGTTGTTAATGTTTAATGTTAGATAATGTTTTTATATGTACTGGAAATCACCTAGCCAGATGAGTAGGGTATAAATAATAATTATTAGTATTATTACTTATTGTTGTTGTTATCATCATCATCATTATCTGACCTGAGTCATCTACAGAACCTACTGCATGTCAGTTGCAGGGTCCAGGTTTTGAGATTTGCGGAGCCTGGTCAAATTTTCCTAAAAGCTCACCTTTGCAGAAAGCAACAGAAGCTGATAAACTAAAGGAGGGATTTCTTGGAGGTCCAACTGAGAGAACATCCTTAAGACCTTTTCCACCACAAACTGCAGCTCTTCTGCACTCAGTGGGATGTCCCTGCAGAGTAAAGATAAAAGCCAGTCCAGATCATCTACCCAAACATCAGTCCAAAACATCAGCAGAGAAGCCTCTGGGGCCACAAACACCATGGTACAAAAACCAGCAAATATTATTTATTATTTACATTCATAGCCCACCTTTCCTCCAAGGGGCTCAAGGCAGCCCCACCCCTCAAGTTATCTTCACATCAATCCTGTGAGGCAGGTTAGGTTGAGACTGGCCCACAATCATTCATGGCTAAGTGGGGATCTTAATCCAAGTCTCCATGCTCCATGTCTGATACTGTCTCCACTACACTGGCCCCCAAATGGTATATCCCAGAAATCAGCCTTGGATCAAGTACCTTTCCCACTTAGGAAACACTTGGCCAACTAGAACTTCTTCCAAAGTGCAAGCATGGATTATGACTGACATGCCTAGTGACACTGCTCTCCCCTCACCTCTGTAAGTGCTCCCCAAGTCAGCAATGAAAAAAGAAAATAAAAAATTGTAGAGAGGCTACCTGAACATGGAGGAGAGATGTATCACATGTTGAGGACTCCACCTGCCCATATAAAAATCAATCAGAAGGTTTGAAAACAGAAAATAAAGTACTAACAAAAAATACTTCCAGCAGGGATAGTTGTGTTACACATGACAGTTTGTGAAATAAAGGGGTGATGAGAGAGATGTCTGCCCCAGTGCACCTACAGTTGGATTAATTGCAATAGCTGCCCTTGAAGATGACTCAGAAACTTCAATAGCCAGATTACTGGCTGGGGTCCTAGTTAGAACACATATAACTGCCCCCCCTTTCTAAAAAAGAAAGCAACAACCCTGTACAGGTTGCCAGTTCATTTCCAGACGTGATTCACGGTCCTCATGTCGGTGTTCAAAGCCCTAAAAACTTAGGCCCTAAATATCTGAAAAGACTACCTCCTTCCTTACAGACCCTCTTGGGTGTTAAGACTGGCAGAAGGAGCCTTCTTTGTTATTCTGCCACCCTCAGAAGTTCAGTGGTGGCAGCCCAGGAGAGGCAATTCTCTGTGGCAACCCCTAAGCTGTGGAATTTCCTCCCCAAAGAGTTGTGCCTGGCTTTTCTCATACGATGCAGACACACTTCTTTACCCTGGTCTTTGACACCTAAAAATATATTTAGGACCAACCCTGTTCTTTTGAATGTAAAATGTTTTAACTGGTTTTGCTATTGCATTTTTATGTTGTTGCAACTCACCATTTTGGTGGAAGTCAAGTGAACACCAATAAAAATCAGCAGCAGAGTTTAACATTTGACTGGATAAAACATAGCAAAGAGTTGCTTACATAAAACTGGTGCATTCTGAACAATTCTAAAGGCAAGCACAGAACTGTAAATGACCTGCTGAAGACATGCCTACCTGCTGGAACAAAGTGTATTGATCAGCTGTTTCTTAAACTCTTCCCCACTCAGCTCACCTGAAAAGGGGTGGGAAAGCACACAGTACAAGAGCACTTAGGACGAGTTGCTAGTCAAATGAAAATAAGGAAGAAAGAAGGGATAGGGCTTACCTGCCCCATAAACCAGCGTCTCTTTAGCTGTCGCTAGTGCAGTCAAAACTGTAGGGAAAAGCTCCAAAGACCTGCCACTGAGCAAGATGCCACCTTTGATAGCTTCAACAAACGAAGTTGCCAGGTCAGCCAATGCAGAACCTGGCAGCTCATGAGCCTGAAAAATGAGGGACAAGATATGGGAAGATGCATATGAAAATATGCACCAAGGGGGGGACAAAAGTATTTTAAAAATGCAATCTCAAGTTGCCAGTGAAAGCTGCATTAGAAATAGTTGTTGCATGAACACACTGGGATGTCTTTCCTCGGGTGAAAGGAAGTTAACAGTATCACTTATTTATTACATGACACATTAGCCAATAAGAACCTGAAGGCTTAGAATGTTCTAACTATACAAACTACCTTTGATCATAGATTCAAGTAGGTAGCCGTGTTGGTCTGCTATAGTCAAAATAAATTAAAACAATTCTTTAAAAAGATGGTTAAAAAGACTCTTCTTGAAAACCTAAAAACTCATTTAAAAGAATCAAGTCTTCAAAAAAGTTATATGATCTAAGAAAGTCTTTAAAAGAATCCTTCCAAAAGAATTTAAAAATTATAATGTAGCACCTTACAGACCAACTGAGTAGTTTTAGGTATAAGCTCTCATGTGCATGCACACTTCTTCAGATACACTGAAACAGAAGTCATCAGACCCTTATATATAATGAGAGGGTGGGGAGAGGGAATGGGTGATTGGCTACCTTTGATCATGTTAAATATGCACACGTGCAGTGGGGTCCCGATTCTGTACTTCAAGCATAGAAACTGAGCAGATGAAAACTTTCCTGTGATAGACCTAAGTGGTAGGAGAAGCCTCACTTACAAAATTACACTGTGCTGAACTGTTGTCAAAGGCACAGGTGTAACACCAGGAGGAAACCTATGACCTAGAAATGATTTCATCCCCAAGGAGATGGACAGAGTAATGGCGTGTGCATATGTGTATAGAATCCGTGTCTGGGGAACAAGGAGGCTTTGGATCTGGAAAAATCACAGCCTCCCACAATGTGTCCCCATTCGTGGCTCTACCACACACAGAGCATTGGTGGCAAGTCAGTGACCACAGCACCGCTTTCTTCCACCACACTGGAGACTCCTCCATCTGCAGAGAAGGAGGCCCACAATATCAAATAACCCCTTCCTTACCTACCCTTCTTAATAGTTAAGGATTGCTCTCTAAAGCTGCAATCACACGTAGTGTCTTGAAAATCAGCCCCACTAGATAACATGCATGTTCCGCAACATGCATAGGGTCAGGATTCTCAGGAGATGACCGCAATGTAATTTAAGCGTGGAATCTAGAAGTGGAAGGGAACCATCATCTCCATTTCACTTTGCAGAGCTGGAGAAACCAGTCTTGGTAACTCCATTCCTACCTCTAACATAAGCAGCCGTATAATTTCAGATGCAACTTCCACATGCAGGTCCCCCGACTCCACCAACTGGACACAATGCTTATAAACGCTGAGCCTCCTAACAACACCCGTCTGTTGGAAGCAAGGAGAACCTGGAGTGGAATTTCCAACAATAAAGAAGTTACTTGAGCAAACATTTTAAGACAGCTCTTACAAGAGACAAAAGAGCAGCTGGTGGCCTAGACTTCACCAACACTCTCAATAATTTTTCTGACCATTTACTCACTTTCTTCTGTGCAATTTAAACAGCTAAAGGGTTCTGCATGACTCCCAAATTCCTTTATTAACAGAAGCTCCAAATTAAAATATCCCCTTTCATAGTCTATATTTTTGTATCTTGTTCACAAATAAACATCAGTTGTGTCCACATGGAATTACTTAACACTGGCACATTAAAGTGGAAACCCAACTGCTGGGACAAGTTCAAAAGAACTCTTCCCACCTGCAAGCAATACTGTCTAGAACAAGGGTTCCCAAACTGTGGTCTGGGGACCACTTCATTCAGTTGGTCCACAGCATGTCTCTTAAAAAAAAAATATCTAGAAGATTCTTTACAGCACAGTCCCATATTTCTCTGTTCAGTAGCAAGTCCCACTGACATCAGCTGAGTTTACTTCCAAGTAAATGAACATAGGATTGCAGCCACACTCAAGTACTTGCTTAAGGCTGCAATCCTAACCCAATTCAACAGGACTTGCTTCTGAGTAGACATGATTAGGATTGAACTGTAAGATATCAATGTCATACATGGAACAGTTGGGTAAAAAAAAGGATTCATAGATCAGTCTATTACAACTCATTGTGTGGTACCTTTGAAGATTCCTCTCAGGAGGGCACCAATCTCCTTTCCCTTCAAAGCCTGCTTTGTGATTAAGCCTTTCAACTGCAGCAAGAAGAGGGGGAAAGCACAAGATTCATTTATCATCACTTTAAGCTTCTACATCCAATGATAATAGAAACACTGTGTGTAACCAGGTACTAATTTCCATACAATCATCACTAAGGCACATAAATTTACCGTCCTCTTAATACGGCCTTGCAGATACATCCAAAATATTTACTAGCCTACGTACTTCCATTAATCATTTGTGGCTGCCTAACCCTAAACTTTTTTCAGTTCTCCATGCCTGGTCACCTGGAAGCAACCTCCACTCATCATAGTTTACTAGATGGACGGCCTGTTACTAGATAGCCTGACATGCAGTTAAAATACACCATGTTCATGAAAAGGGAGAACCACAGAGGAATGAATGCACCCAAAAATATTTTTGTGAATTATATACAGTACTACAGTAACACTTGAAGGCCATGAAAAACTGGAAGTGGCAATCCACTTGCCTATGATTTCTAAGAGGAGCAAGAAACGCATTGGATATAGATGTCATTAGTAGTTAGTAAAAGGCAGGAGACTTGGCAACCTTAACACAATGATGAAAAATGTAAGCAAAATGACATTATCTAGCTGTCATAAAACTGTACAGGAGGTAACATTGCAGGAGGAGGGAGATGTATAAAAACATACAAATTGCATGAGATTCTGTTTTGGTTCCAGATACTGCATAGTGCAGAATGCAAAAGTTGCAGAACCTGGGCATACGGCAGATGCATAGCTGCCCACTGACAGTCACCACAATTTTTACCATTTTCCCAAATGCACGGGACTTCCCACAGCTATGAGTTAGTAGAAGGAAACGGAAATACAACAGGAATAAATACAAATATCTAGCGACTTGCAACTCGTGCAATTAGCAAACTATGAATAAAGGTCCATTAATGTACTATATATGGATGCCTCACAATTTGGACACAAAACTACTGATCATGGAAGCCATGATGGTGAAACAATACACTGAAGAGAATGAGCAATGTCCAAATGAAGGGATAGGAGTGGTTCTCCATGTGTTTTGGGTTGATGGGAGTTGCGAGTTCAGCTACATACATAGGACCACAGATTCTCTTTCCCTCTTTACAATCAGCCCCAAACAAGGGCACTATCAGTGGATCCACACACACACACACACACACCCCAACTGAAATGCTGTGAGAATCACAACAGCTCACCTCATTTTCTTTCAGGCTTTGCAGGCATGCCTGAAGTTGCTCAGCTTTTTCATCTGCCGCTAAGGTCAGGATTTTCTGGTCCATTGTTAACAGAGCTGGCGAAACAAAAACAAATGATCTGTAAAATTAGCAAAAAGAGATTTAAACTACAGAAACAAACAGAGGAAACTCAGATTGGCTCCGTATCTAAGGCCTCGAAAGGTAAACTGATGCGAATGGCAGCCTCAAACTGTAAAGCTTTTTGTGGACTGCACCACTTTGCACTACAAGCGGGGATGTGTTTGAATCCAATAAAAAAAGTGCATTACATAGGTTGGAGTGGGAGGGAACTGAAGCTTGGATGACTCCTTAATGACATGCTGGGGTTGTCTTTGTATTTTTGTATGACTGCAGCGAGTGGGAAAGTATTCAAATGTACAGCCACGTGCCACAACTTTGCTGCAACCGCTGGGTTTCTTTTCACATCTTCTACCAAACTTCCCTATCTGGGGTGACACAGGTGTATCCATGATGGTGCAGCCAACCAGGAAGACTCTTGTTTCAGCACACACACCACACATACATAAAGCTCAATAGGCCAATCTCAACCCTCAGCCAAACCTACCTCACAGGCTTGTTACGCTGACAAAACTGGAAATATAGGGAGTGGGAATCATTTATGCCACTTTGAGCTCCCTGTAGGGGAAAAAATTGGTACAGAAACCGTTATAAACAAAAGAGGCACTCTCCACATGCTCAGAGACACAGTTTCACCTTCCCCCTTTTTTTCTAACCTGGCTCAAAGGAAGCCCCCCCCCCCCCCAAAATACTTGTCATTTTTTTTTTTTGGCTAATGACCAACAATCACCGCTCAGCCTCGTGACCCACCTTCGGCCACGACCCCGGCCACGTGACCCTCTCACGTCCGCGCCCCCTCCCGCTGCCGACCCTCTTCTCTGCTTTGCCTCAGGCGCGGCTTCCCGGCCTCACCTTCCTTCAAAACTTCCCCGAGCGCCGAATTTCCCGCCTGGAAGTTCGTCGGCGTTGCCCCGGCAACGGAGTCCCGCCCCTCTCTGAACAGCTTCCGTTTCCCTAGGCAACCCATGCGCCGCCTCCGCTTCGCCGTTGTTCTCCCCACCCCACGCCCCGCGCTGCAAGCTAAGTCCCCGGATGGTGCTGTGGCGCAGCGCGTAGGGTGGCCGGCGCGGTAATGGGAAGATCGCCCGTTCGAGGCTTGCTGCCTGCCGATTTACGAAAACGGTGGGGACAGGGACAGAAACTAGATAAAAGGGGCGCTCACTAAATAATAAGCCCAGAGAGACTCTCCTATGAAGAACGGTTGCAGTGCGCGGGGCTTCTTGCTTTTAGCAAGTTCTTGGTACTTTTTATACAATTATGCATGGATAGAGAAAAGGGTTTCGCCCTCTGAACGCAAGAAATCATCGGGTGAAGCTGAATGCTGGAAGATTCAGGACAGATAAAAGAAATTACAATGGTACCTTGGTTCTCAAACTTAATACGTTCTGGAAGTCTGTTCCAAAACCAAAGCGTTCCAAAACCAAAGTGCACTTTCCCATGGAAAGTAATGTAAAATAGATTAATCCATTCCAGACTTTTAAAACAACACCTAAAACAGCAATTTAACGTGAATTTTACTATCTAACGAGACCATTGATCCATAAAGTGAAAGCAATAAACAATGTACTGCAGTCACACAATCAATCAATCAGTAGCTGAACTGAGTTCCACACAGTCACAAAAACAAAAAAGCCGCAAAAACAGAAAAGCAAAATAGCAAAAACAGACAGACTTCAGCGTAACACTCAAAACGGAAGTGCGGCACTCAAAATGGAAGTGTGGCATTCAAAACGGAGCATGTTCAGCTTATGAAAAAAGTGCAAACTGGAACACTTGCTTCCGGGTTTGCAGTGTTTGGGTTCCAACTTGTTTGAGTACCAAGGCATTTGAGAACCAAGGTACCACTATACTTCTCAGCACTGCACGTAATTAAACTATGGAATTCATTCCCACTGGAGGCAGGGATGGTCACTGACGTGGATGGCTTTATAAGGGGATTGGACTAGATTGGGCTATGGGTGTCATTCAGTAGGTTCTGCTGATGGCAGTGAAGTATTTGTTGTTGTTTAGTCGTTTAGTCGTGTCCGACTCTTCGTGACCCCATGGACCAGAGCATGCCAGGCACTTCTGTCTTCCACTGCCTCCCGCAGTTTGGTCAAACTCATGCTGGTAGCTTCGAGACCACTATCCAACCATCTCGTCCTCTGTCGTCCCCTTCTCCTTGTGCCCTCCATCTTTCCCAACATCAGGGTCTCTTCGAGGAAGTCTTCTCTTCTCATGAGGTGGCCAAAGTATTGGAGCCTCAGCTTCAGGATCTGTCCTTCCAGTGAGCACTCAAGGCTGATTTCCTTAAGAATGGAGAGGTTTGATCTTCTTGCAGTCCATGGGACTCTCAAGAGTCTCCTCCAGCACCATAATTCAAAAGCATCAATTCTTCGGCAATCAGCCTTCTTTATGGTCCAGCTTTCACTTCCATACATCACTACTGGGAAAACCATAGCTTTTACTATACGGACCTTTGTTGGCAAGGTGATGTTTCTACTTTTTAAGATGCTGTCTAGGTTTGTCATTGCTTTTCTCCCAAGAAGCAGGCGTCTTTTAATTTCGTGGCTGCTGTCACCATCTGCAGTGATCATGGAGCCCAAGAAAGTAAAATTTCTCACTGCCTCCATTTCTTCCCCTTCTATTTGCCAGGAGGTGAAGCAATGAAGTATAGTGTTGTAATAAGCCGCACAGAATAGGCCCACTTGAATTAATGGACCCAAATGGCTGTTTATCTTAGTGGATCTACTCTGAGTATACGTTAGTTGAAAGCAACCCATAGTCCTTCTGTCATATTCTCTCTTCCACCATCCCAAATGAGGGTCACATCAGCAAGACCTGGGAATCTGCTTCTGCCCTGACCTCATCCAACCTCTCTCTGCAAAACAATCTGATTTTTAAAAAAACATTTCATTTACATAACATTTGTTCCAATTGCTGTTGTCCCGTGCAGCCTTAACCCTTGAGTGACTTTTCTTTGCTGCCAAGAGCTTGGACAGAAAGCCCATTCAAGACCTGCCAGGAAGGATGATAATAATAATAATATCACCATCATGAAACCAAATCAGAGTGAGGGTAACACTTCTTGCAGGTTGGCCTTTTCCTGGATTTCTTTTTTGCCTCACGCGTGGCTTGGATCATTTTGTACAAAACCCCTAAGTACCCAGCAACAAGGGGAAGCCTTTGTTCCATGAGGCGATTTCAACCTATGTTTAAAAGGAAGCAGAGATTAACCTAAGTGGCCTTTCTTGTTGCAAACACACCAGCTTATTTCTGAAGCTTTCCACAAAAGCCTGAACTGTTCAGAGATGGGAGCTAACACAAGAAAACAGAAGCTATCAGTGGCGCAATTAGGTAATTTTAGACTAAGGAGCAATTTTTCACTTTTTGCTACTGTACCCATCTAGGTTATATTGGGGGGGGGGTGCCCAAATGTGGATTATATACTGTACTTGCAACAGCACTGGAAGCCAGTAACCAGTTTGCTTCATTCTCCTATATCCAATCCATCGTATCTTCACGTGCTAAAAGAGTTTGCACCAATTTATTTTAGAAAAAGAAAAAAAAAACACCCTTCCAAGTTGGTTGCGTGAAGCAGCAGCCCTCAAGACTGGTTCAAACATGCAGTTGCTTAACAGTTGCTTTGCTTTTGGCTGAACCCCATCCATGCCTTGTTCACACAGCTCCACCAATAAATAGTCCTGTACCTCTTCTCTCCCCCTTTCTCCCTGTCTCACAGTGGGAACTCATTTCCAGCCACAGTTCTGGTGATAATGGAATTCAAATCCTTAAATCTCAACACATGGGGGGTGGAAGGTTCGCAGGCTACGAAGGACTTTCTCACAGATTTATTGACAGCTGTGCGAATTTTTACCGCTAGGAAGTGGAAGGGGCAAGGTGAATATAAAATGGAAGAATGGTATAAAGAGGTGTGGGATATAGCTGTTAATGATAAATTATATGTGCTATTAAGGTAAGACGGGGAATACAGTGGTACCTCAGGTTACATGCGCTTCAGGTTACATACGCTTCAGGTTACATACTCCACTAACCCAGAAATAGTGCTTCAGGTTAAGAACTTTGCTTCAGGATGAGAACAGAAATCGTGCTCTGGCGGCACGGCGGCAGCAGGAGGCCCCATTAGCTAAAGTGGTGCTCCAAGTTAAGAACAGTTTCAGGTTAAGTACGGACCTCCAGAACGAATTAAGTACTTAACCTGAGGTACCACTGGAGAAATGGTTTTGAGGAGATATGAGAGGCATTTGTAGAATTTGTACTGTTAAAACAGAAAGGGGTTAAACCATCACAAGAGGTGTTGAAATTTTGGGATGTTGGATAGTTACAATGGAATGGTCTCAGGGGTGGGGTGTACATATTTATTTTTATTTATTAATTATTATTACTTCGTTCAAATATGTAACTATATATAAAAAATAAAAATAAAAACCTCAACACAGTTACAAAACATGCCTTGCCTAAGCTCCCCATAGCATTGCACCATCCCTTTTGCCACTGTGTCCCCTTTGGTGTGAAGCTCTCTGGACTGAAAGAGGAAGGCAACAGTGACTGTTGATACTCACTGCTGTCTTTACTGCCAGTGAAGATACACACTTTGTCCGATTCTCTTCTGTCAGAATTCAGCAGAATCTTCTGTTCTGGTTACATAGAAAGAGACTCTGTACCAGTGGTGCTGCCAGAATAGCGCAGAAGTCCAGGGATCCATTCAACAAAATAAGCAGGAGCCCCCACCCACCCAAACACAGCAGAGCTGGCTTGCCACATTTTGAAGAAATCATGCACAGTACCATTGATTTATAATATTTCTGTTTATTATGCACCCTTCTCCTTGAGGTCCCACAGCAATCTAAAATTTCAACATGAAATGCACTTTAAAACAAATGACAATCCAAAGAATAACCAAAAGCAAAGTGCACATATAACAAAAGGAAAGGAAACACAGAATCAAGTTACGTTTGCATTTTTTTGCGGCTGTTGTTGTTAAACTATTTTTTAAAAAAACCAAAACAAATAAAAAATAACATCAAGCCAGGCTGCAGCCTATAGTGCAACCCCACAAGACCATTTATGAGTCAGGAAAATTCCTGACATGTCCTGGTTTTCGGGTGTAAAAATGGCGTCGGGGAGGAATTTTGCAGAATCGGCAAAATGTAAGGGAAAAGCCAGGCGTATGCAATGGAAAAAGCATCAGAAACAGCTCAAAAAGCTTAAAATCACTATTTCTGGGGTTGTCAGGAATTCTACTTTTTGAAATATGGCAACCCTACGTATGAGGGTTCGTCTTAAGCAGATCCTGCCTGCCTGCACAGGCGGAGGAAGGGGGTGCGGTGGGTGTGGACTGCCCCGGGTGTCATCCCTGAGGGGGTGGTGACATCGCCGCCCCCCTGGGACGCTCACCCCGCCCCCACGGGCGGCTAACCTCAACCCCGGGTGCAGCTAGCTCCGCCTCTGCCTGCCTGATCAATTTTGACAAGAATATGTAAATATTTAATTTAATACCTTTATTGTCAATGTACAACCTGTGTACAATGAAATTAACTGAGCCTCCCCCCCCCCCACACATACACTCAACCTCATTGCACTCTGTGTGCTTGTCGCACAAAACACCAACCCCGAAAGTCAGTTGCACTATATTATTTTCCGTTCAGCAGCCTAACAGCCCACAGATAGAAACTGTTTATTAGCCTTTTTAGCCTGATTATACTTCTATATCTCCTGCCCGAGAGAAGAAGATTAAATAGGTGCTGGCCGGGGTGTGAATCATCCCTGAGAATTTTTCTTGATCTCCTAAGGCAACGATCCTAGCAGGCTCAGGGGACAGCCCATGATATCATGTGCTGTGTTCACCACCCTCTGTAAAGACTTTCTGTCTGTGGCTGTCAAGCCAACGTACCACACTATGATACAATATAAGAGGACACTTTCTATTGTGGACCGGTAGAAGGAGGTCATCAATTGTTGTTTAACATTGTTCTTTCGCAAGACCCTGAGGAAATGGAGTCTGTGTTGGGCCTTCCTAACCACCTGAGTTATATTGTTTTTCCAAGTGAGGTCTTCACTAAGGTAAACTCCCAGGAATTTCAAGGAAGAGACTAACACCTAACAAGAAACATTTTGTCCTTGACTAAGGGAAAAGCAAAAACCTCCCAACTAAGAGACAAATTGTGGTTGGAATCAAAATTTCTTTCTGGACCAGAAACCAACCAAGTCCACAGTAATGGGCAAACAAGGAAGGGTGGCTGGGATGAACCTGCGGTGAAAAGGTGTATATTCTGGGCGGCCAGCCGTGTCCCATCTTGCAAGAACTCTGGAGCTCCTATAGGGTTTCATGAGAACTAGGGCTGAGCCAAGGCCGCCTCCACCGTTGGGGTTCATCACACAAGGCGGTGAAGAACCTGATTTGCACAGCCTGAATTTGTCAGTGAGTGACTGAATCCCACCCCAAAGTAGCAGCAGCCTGGAAGCACCCTTGAAATTCAACCTAGGGGCCAAAGTATGGTGATGTTAAATGCCTGGTTTGGCATTGACCCATAGAAGAGGGAATTTCAGCATGGCTTGCTGCTACACTAGGGATGAATGAATCCATCAGTTCTGGTTCCTCTCAGTAGGGCTGGCACTGGATGCAACCCATTGTTTAAATGTACATCAGAGAACGGCTTTTTAACTTGCCCTAAATAAGACCTCGGGACGCAGGTGGCACTGTGGGTTAAAGCACAGAGCCTAGGACTTGCCAATCAGAAGGTTGGCGGTTTGAATCCCTGCAACGGGGTGAGCTCCCATTGCTCGGTCCCTGCTCCTGCCAACCTAGCAGTTCGAAAGCACTCAAAGTGCAAGTAGATAAATAGGTACTGCTCTGGCGGGAAGGTAAACGGCGTTTCCGTGCACTGCTTTGGTTCGCCAGAAGCGGCTTAGTCATGCTGGCCACATGACCCAGAAGCTGTATGCCGGCTCCCTCGGCCAATAAAGCGAGATGAGCGCCGCAACCCCAGAGTCGGCCATGACTGGACCTAATGGTCAGGGGTCCCTTTACCTTAAATAAGACCTCATCTGCACTGTACACTTAAAGCAGCGTCATACCAATTTAAAAAGACTCGTCTACCCATGTACTATCTGAAACCAAAGGGGCACATTGGTTGCCAGATGTGATCCCCCCCCCAGCTGTCCTACTCCACTATACAGCTCCCAGGCTGCTCTGGGGGACGCCATGACTTTTTAAAGTGGCATGATGCTACTTTAAACACATTGTGTAGATGGGGCCTATATTTGTCCATCTAGGCTGGTGGACATCCTGGCGGACATTGGCTCTCCAAAGCAGAAGCCTTTCCCACTTTTGCTTAACTAGAGATGCCAGGGTTTGAACCTGCAACCTTCTGCATGCAAAACATGTGCTCTGCTCCTGAGCTACAGCCCTTCCCCGTTGAAGTTATGGACCCTCTTCCCTCCTTGCCTCCCTCCCTCTGCAATGTCCCCCAAAGCCCTTCCCTCCACCCTGCATGTTACACTAATGAGTGTGGCCCAGTTATACAATAAGAAGCTTTTATACTTGGCTAATCGGCCCCAGAATGCTGCCAGCCTCCCCGCCATGAACTTCTGTGAGCCAAGACCACTTGCTCTCGCTCTCTCCCCTGCCCCCTCCTCGCCAGCCTTTTGTAATTTTTTAATGGGGTCCCTCGCCTGGTTTGTGCTGACCTAATTAGAGAGCTCTTGCGAGCGATGCCTTGTGATGGTCTAATCCCAGCCCGGTGACTCTACAAAGCTTTTGCCTGGGTTTCCTCTTGTTGCACTTCAGCCTTTTCTCAATTCTTTGCTGCCCGTTGCATGTTCAATTTATTCACTACGGTGATTCTGCCTGGATTGCACACTGACCTTCTTGGAACTGTTTCACCTCCCTGGTGAGTATTTCGAGATTCTTTTCTTCAGCTTAGATTCTGCCACTGCAACCCTTCTTGTTAAAGTTGGTTGGGAGAGTATAGGTGCTGCAGGTTTAATACTGCTTCAAATCACAGCAAACGCAGCCCAGCCATTAAAAACAACTGGATGTGTTTCAGCAAGGACTAGATGTCTACATGTCAGGGATGCTCTGCTTGGAACCCTATATTGCAGATTCGGCATTGCATGGGGTTGGACTAGACAACTGCTATGTACCCATTCAATCTCTGTGAGCTGTGTCCAGGGCTGCTGAGCTAGCACATGGACGAGTTTCAGTGTTGTACAACGGAGGAATCAATACGATACGATACGATATCTTTATTGTCATTGTCCCATACAGAACAATGAAACTGAAAAACTACATAAAACATTCTAAAACCCCTAAAAACTCTGAAACCCCATTTTAAAATACAATATACTATAGAGATTCCTTATGCTGTGTTTAGAACCAGAATAGCATTTGTGTAGAAACTGTTTCTCAGGCGGCTAGTCATGGCCTTTATAACCCTATACCTTCTTCCAGAAGGCAGAAGCTGAAAGAGATCATTTCCGGGGTGCACACTATCCTATCCTGTCCTGTGCTATCTCTCCAGTGCAACAGTTGCACTAGCAGAAACTCGTGGTGCAAGAGATTGCCCAATCTTGTGCAACAAGTTACCGGCAGCCTGTTCATGTAGTCTCATATGTAGCAAACCTGTGAGTCTATGAACACGGGAACTTAAAAGCTACATTATACCAGGGCAGATCGTTTGTTCATCTGGCCCTTCACTGCTGGCTCTGGAAGACAGCTGCTCTCCAGGGCAGAAATTGGTCTCTTCCATCCCTTGCTAACTGGAGATGTCAGGGAGTGGACCCAAGACCTTCTGCATATTGCGCTGGCACTGAAATAAGACAAAAAAGCCAGTTCCAATGCATGTTTACTGCCACCAAGTTTAACAGGACTTCCTGTATGTCCCATCATCCCTGACTACTAGTCCTGCTAGCTAGTCTTGTACTCATGTACTCATCATGGCCAAGGATAAACAAAGGCAATCAGGACATTAGCTGACGTGGTGATAGGATAGGGATGTTGGCCCCACCCTTATCAGTAGATAAAGACTCAAACAAACAGGAGGAGTGGTATAATTGGGAAGTTCCACAACCAACAAAGGCTAGCAGCTGGAAGCCTTTAGCAACCTAAGAGAGAAAGTAAACTTTGGGGACTGTATAAGTATAAGACATAATTAAAGGAGGCGGCCCAGCAATGTTCTCTGAAAATTAAGTTCCTGGTAATGAGAAGAGGCTGGGACTTCCTGCGGACAGCCTCACTAGGTCTCCTCTAGAACCCTCAAGGCGGACTTGGGATTCTGAAGGATCCTCAGCTGCGGAAAGTTGCCAGATCTCTCTGAACCAGAGAGTGAACTGCAACAGGTGTCAGTGTGTTGCCTCCTGGTGATGTTAGCCTGACAATCCTCATTCTCTCTTTTCAGTGGTTGCGTGGATTAGGAAAACGACAACATGACTTCAGTGGTGAGTACAGATCCTGTTTGTTCCATTCCATTTGTTCCCTTTTCCTGATTCTAACCGGGCTTAGATTAAGGAGATCTTGATTCATTTCTGCTCTCAGCAGGGCTAGCATCAGTCTTCTACATCCTCAGGCTGCTACCAATGCTGAAACCAGCGCTGACGACAATGTCACTTTGGCTTTGCCACATGGGACAAATAGTGGCTGCATCCAGGAAGCTGCCTACCATGTGAAAATGTTGTTGAATATTTGTATGCTGCAGTTTTGGAGGAAAGCCCTTCCAAAGCATCTTAGCCCATCCAAAGCAATGGAAAGATATTCCATAGATAGGGCAAATCTGGACTGGCATTTTTATGCTGATGCCATTGCGTGGGCAAACTGCAAAAACCTTACATTTGTGAGCAGCGTTGAGCCCACAATAAACACCTGCTTCTGTCTTGCTTCAGCCCAGATGAAAGGAAAAGGTAGATGAACAGTAACAGGCAACTGAGGAGCTCTGCCTCTAAGATGCATAATGTCAGGAGCAAGTATCAGGAATAAAGCACATGGAGTAAGTGATTCAGAAGAAATAAGACCTGCGCAGGAATGCCAGGCCTAATGAGGACAGCAACTCTTCTCAGTGGGTTTTGCCCCTATGAGACAGTTGTGGGGACTGAAGATCCCCGCCTTCCCACAGCTGCCTAAATCTCCACCTTCCTTGGGTCTTCCCCAAGCAATCTGAGACTCCACCGATGTGCCTGTCTCTGCTCCTCCCTCTTCAGACCTCTTCTATTCCTGGGAGACAAGGGGGCAGGGGAGCTTGTCACAGCAGGAGGGGAAGACACCCAGCCTGACTCATCTCTGCCTCTTGGCCTCCCTCCTCTCTGCATCCACCCCTGCTTCCAATTCTGTACTTCTATCTGCCACAGATTTTCCCTGCTCACTAAACCCTGCTACATCTTCTACTTCTGACGCCTCCTCCTCCCAGTCTTCTCCCTCTTTCTCTGACCACTCATCGTCACCCTGTCACCAGTCCCCGGATTGAGCCCGAAACCTTCTAGATGCAAAGTACGCACTTTGCCACTGATCTACAGCCAGTAGTGTAGTGGCAAATTCAGTCACGCAGGGTCATGATAGTTAAAGCCATCTCCCCTGACAGTCACACCCCTTCAAACATTATGCAACCTTCTAAGTTTATATAGTAATATTGTACAATAATAATAATTAAGGATGCATTGCAATGATCATTGCAAATCTCCACGAGTTGCCTTTCAGATAGATCAACAATTTTCTGTGTGGGTACATGGACAAAAATGATTTGGACTGCTCCACTAACTTCTTTCTGAGTGTCTTAAGCTGTGTTTTCCATGAAGTCTGATTGTACGTAACAGAACTTGGGCACCAAACTCTGGAAAGAGAAAACACTATGTTTTCAGTTCCTAAATGCTCTGCTTTGGGTGTACAGTGGTGAAAAAACTCCCCTTTCATGCTGATTGGGTGCCACCTTTAGAAGACATCTGAAGGCTGGGTACAGGGAAGTTTTTAATGTTTAATGTTTTGACAGTTTTTGTATATGCTGGATGCTGCCCAGAATGGCTGGGGAAACCCAGTCAGATGGGCAGGGTACAAATATTTATTTATTTATTTATTTATTTATTTATTATTGAGATACCTGTAAGGACCCTGCTGCAAAAATATTCACAAGTCTTCTCCTTTTAGAGTCAATATTTTTTACATAGGGTGCCAAGTATTATGCAAGTTTTGCCAGTTCTTGCATGAGCAGTTGACATGATGGGGATGTTTTAAGTCAGGAGTTCATTTCCCCCTTGTGCTTTCACCCCTAGACTGGCACATTCAGGATCGTTTCTGAGGAGGAGCAAGCCTTGCGTTCCAAACTTGAGAGGCTGACCACCAAGGACCATGGCCGCGTCTTTGGGAAGTGTGAGAAAATCCCTGACTATACCTTGCAAAAGGTGAGCATCGCTGGGCGGGGTGGAGAGGGAAGGCCAAAGTCTGAGAGCTGTTAATGATTCCAGAGGGTGGCCTGTTCATGGAGCTCAACGTGGCTAATTAACCTTTCAAAAACTAACTACTTACGTAGCTCTGTGTGTGAGAGAGAACAAGAGGTTTCAGTGATGTCAAGATGGTCCATTGTGAGACTGTTGTCTTACCTTCGTGAGAAAACAGAAACTGAATTTTTATGCCTCGTCTCCCTGCCAACAGGGCTAGCTAAGAATCCTTCAAAGCCCGTATCAGGGACCCTTCTTTGAAGTTTGCCCCTGTTTTGCATGGCTGTTCCACTGCAATTTAACCAGTACGCCTCTGTTCATGTCATGTAGCATTCAGTGGAGACCAGAGGGTCATAGCAGGGGGGAAGACAAAGGGGAACACACACAGACACACATGGGTCCTGAGTACACCAGGGCTTCTGCTAGGCCCTGAGCCACAGAGATGAACCACAGCCCAAGTCCATCACTGGGAGTCCTAACAGTTGTTACAGCAGTTACCTTGCTCTCCCTTGAAAAGCACAAAGAGCTAAAGGAGAAGGTTGAAAAAATGGCGCTCCAGATTTGATGCTGCCATTGATGTAGAGGCAGAGACAACCCTACAGGGAGGCCCAGTGTGGTGGCTGCTTTATGCAAGAATCATCAAAGGGCTGCAATGTGCCCATTGTTTAATTTCCTACATACAATTGTATCAAAGGCAACAGTCGCTAATTAAGAGCATAAGTCCTGTTAGGTCAGACCAAAGCCATGTCTATCTCAGGGTTTCCTACTGCTGTGCTGAAAATCCCACTCTTGCATTTTTACCATTCTCCATCAATTAATGAGAAAATAAATTGCGTTATGAAAATGATCAAAGGGGAGAGGAAGCGCTCAGGGCACTCAGTGCATGGTTTTTTTGGTCACACTCACCTTACATTTGAGGTTGCCAAGGGATTATTTGTGAATGCCAGGGACGTGGGTGGCACTGTGGTCTAAACAACTGAACCTCTTGGGCTTGCTGTTCAGAAAGTATTTTTGGAAGATATTTTTCCAAGCTCACATTGCTGATTGGAAGGTATTTTTGGAAGATATTTTTCTAAGCTCACATTGATCATTGGACAATAAATATAATGCACCGGGCCTGAAATGGTTGGAATCTGTACACCAACATAATTTATATAGCCTTCACGGGAGTCCTGTAGCATATCTAAGGGTCAATATACTTATTTGGTGGAAGTGCTATCAATCACATTATAGTCTCCTTCATTGGGGATGCGGGTGGCACTGTGGTCTAAACCACTGAGCCTCTTGGGCTTGCTGATCAGAAGTTCGGAAGTTCGAATCCCCGTGAGGGAGTGAGCTCCCACTCCCACTGCTCAGTTCCAGCTTCTGCCATCCTAGCAGTTCAAAAGCACACCAGTGCAATTAGATAAATAGGTACCGCTGTGGTGGGAAGGTAAATGGCGTTTCCATGCACTCTGGCACTCGTCACAGTGTTCCATGTGCCAGAAGTGGTTTAGTCATGCTGGCCACATGCTCCAGAAAAGCTGTCTGCGGACAAATGGCAGCTCCCTCGACCTGAAAGCAGAGATGAGCACCGCACTCCATAGTTGCATTTGACTGGACTTAACCATCCAGGGGTCTTTACCTTTACCTTTACCTTGTGAATGCCCTTTCTTCCATACCAGTGGCATGTATACCATGTGGGTATATAATGGGTCATTTTAAATTCATGGAATTTTATTGCAAGGGAGGAAATCTGGATTAAATGTAAAAAGAAAAGTATGGAATGCCCATAGAAGTTTTGAGTTGTGTGGTATCTTGGAGGCCTTTTAGTTTAACCTGCTGCTCAATATAGGATCTGTGAACCAGCACACTTAATATCCAGAAAATGATACGATTTTGTTCATACTAGCTATGTGAAATGACAGCACTTGGATTCTACAGGGAAAACTAATTAAAGCGAGCTGGGCTGGACATTCTTTGCCTATTTTACTGCTTGATATGCCAAAATACATACAGTTGTCTGCAAAAGTGTTTCCTTTGGTGGCTCCTCAGTGAGTTGCCTAGCAATAGCAGACAAAAGCCATTTTAGTTCACTGCCACCAATTTTCTTCCTGAATAGTACAACCACAAGTGGAATGCTAGGTGTGTTGTTCTATATATACTCTGGTTGCAGAGGGCAATGGTGTTAGTCAACAGGCTGTCACTCCATAGAAATATTAAGAACATAGGCCAGAATCCTTTGCTATGTTCTGGGCTTGTATGGCAGATGTTCTGGTGTTGCTTAGAAGACAAGTTGATCTAGAATAGGGCTCAGCGATGGAAGGAATTTTGAAACCTACAGCATTAGGTTTAGGGCAAGAACAAATAACTGGTTGAGCACCGGGGGCCATGCCAGATACGGTATCATGAGACCAATGGCCACAGCTAGCGAACATGCTTCTGTTTAGGAGAACACTTCCTTGAATATGAGCACACAAGTGCTATTTTGCGTGGGAGAGAAGGGAAAGCAGGTATTGTCCCATTCCTGTGACATCTTCTACCTTTGAGACACTGTCCAGCTTCTCTTCTCCTCCATAGGCCAAGGATGAACTGAACGAGACCCTGGAGAAGCGCGAGCTGGCTGTGAAAGAGCTGCGGGAACTGGTGCAGGAGAAAGCCAAAGGAGGAGAGGACATCTGCAAGGTGGTGGCTGAGAAAGTGAAAGGAAAAGATGATGCTTTCTTCCTGCGTTTCATCCGAGCCCGTAAATTTGACATCAGCAGGGCTTATGATCTGATTAAAGGTGGGGGTTCTTGGCACGCAAACAGACCCAGTCAAATCTTGTTGGTATGCTGTAGTCACCCTTCCTTAGGGTAGCATAGGGAGTGGGCAGGTGATATTGGCTTATTTATCTAGCCTATTAAAAAGAAAAAAGGAGGAGTGCGGGGGCAACACCTTTAATTGCCAGCAAAACCCAAAGTTAGGTTGTAGGAAGAGGTTTTTCTCCGTTTGGGTGCTTCCGCTGTGTATTGTTACCTTATAGTGGTACCTCAGGTTACATACGCTTCAGGTTACAGACTCCGCTAACCCAGAAATAGTACCTCGGGTTAAGAACTTTGCTTCAGGATGAGAACAGAAATAGTGCTCTGATGGCGCGGCAGCAGCAGGAGGCCCCATTAGCTTAAGTGGTGCTTCAGGTTAAGAACAGTTTCAGGTTAAGAACAGACCTCCGGAACGAATTAAGTACTTAACCTGAGGTACCACTGTATTGTGTGTCCCCCCCCCTTCTCTCTCTGAGAGGGATTTTACTGGCATTGACCCTGGACTCTGGTAAACTGGAGAGATTATGCTGGAGAAGAAGAAAAATATTTGCTTGGCTCTATTTCAGAGCTCCCTTTGTTTATGCAACAGGGCAGTAATTAACAAAACTAGCCACGGAGATGAGGAACAAGGGAAGGATTTTTGCCCGTTTTTATTTAACCGCCCCAAGCTACGCTTCCCCATTTCACGCCTGATGGCTCTTAACAGGAAACAAGTGAAACAAGTTACTACCCCTACTATTCCTGCCCCCTGCAGAATGAAATCTGGGTTGATCATCCCCTTGTTGGTAAACAAGCATGAGAAAAATAAGGAGGCAGAATGATTTAGTTTTTACTGAGAAGGAATGTAGATGGGCGGGTGGGGGATGAAAAAATAAATAAACCTAGTTAGGTTCCTGAGTCCTGAAGCAACAAGTTTTAAGTACTGTGGTAAAAGGTAAAGGTAAAGGGACCCCTGACCATTAGGTCCAGTCATGACCGACTCTGGGGTTGCAGTGCTCATCTCACTTTATTGGCTGAGGGAGCCGGCGTACAGCTTCCGGGTCATGTGGCCAGCATGACTAAGCCACTTCTGGTGAACCAGATCAGTGCACGGAAACGCCGTTTACCTTCCTACCAGAGCGGTACCGATTTATATATTTGCACTTTGATGTGCTTTTGAACTGCTAGGTTGGCAGGAGCAGGGACCAAACAACGGGAGCTCACCCCATCACGGGGATTCGAACCACCAACCTTCTGATCAGCAAGCCCTAGGCTCTGTGGTTTAACCCACAGCACCACCCGCATCCCAAGTACTGTCCCAAGTACAATTCCAGAGTTTGCACTTCATGGTATTATTGGGGGGGGGGCAGTGGGAGTGGGCTTATCGGAAGCTGCCTTGTACTGAGTGATATGTTTGGTCCATCTAGCTCAGTACTGTCTGCACCAGGAATGGGGAACCTGTCCTCCCCATCCCTCAGTGTTGGATTACAGATCCCTTCATCACTGATCATTGGCCATGTTGGGTTGATGGGAGATGGAGTCCAACAACATCAGAAACGCACTGGTTACTGATGGGTTTTATTAGGTAGGTGAGGGGATGCATTAACTATCTTTGATCCCTCTGCAGGCCCATGTGTGTGGGTTGAGACAAAGAGAAAATGGGGCTACAAGCCTTTTTCCAAAATACAGGGCTTTTGCAGATACTTGCACGAGATAAAGCCCTCTCAGTGGAGTTTATAACTCCCATCTGAGCAAGTATAATTGGAAGCACAGGAATTAGTCGTTAGGCTGATGTCTCCCTTTTGTTTCCCTGTTTATCAAAGAAACAGGCTCCAAACTGAAAAGCAAGTTTAAAATGTATAGTTTACTCATAGTCAAGCAATCATCCTTACCAGCAACAGAAGTAAAAACTAATGCAGATAAAATACTTGTATTTACAGCCAAAACAACTTCAGGCATGTGCCTTATACAGGAACAAGTGGAGAGATGGTTGCTCCCATAGCTAGTTGAAGAGAGAGGGGGAGGGGAAAGGAACAGGAAATACTTATTTGCTCCTTCCCTCCCAGGAGAGGAGGGTTAATGACATCATACAGAGCATTCTCTACCAATTACGTTTCTATGGTCTGAGTCTGCCTATCAGCAACACAGCTCTATGGTCTTAACCCCTTCATGTGCCAACTAGCAAAAATATGCATTGTTAGATTTGACTGCAAAACTTCCATAGTTTCCCTCACCCTAGTCTACCCTGACTGGCAGCAGCTCTCCAGGGTTCTTTCTCAGACCTACCAGGAGCTGTCGAGCATTGAACCTGTAACCTTCTGCAGGCAAAGCAGACACATTACCACCAAGCGACTGACCTTCCTTTGAGATCTTTGCCTGGTTTCATTACTTACCTCAATATGTGATGAGACATCACTGCTATGTTAGCTGACCCTCCTCCTTCTGCCAAGTGAGGTCCTGAGCTTCTGACCTGAAATTCTGCCCTGATAGCCCCACCATTTAAGCACACAGCCTCCTTGCAAGGACGGGGAACTAGTGGGCCTCCAGATGTTGCTAGACTGCCACTTCCATCATCCCTGACCATTGGCCATGCTAGCTGGGGATGATTTTTTATTATGTTTTATTATGTTTTTATATGAGCTGGAAGCCACCCAGAGTGGCTGGCAAAACCCAGCCAGATGGGTGGAGTATAAATAATAAAACATCATCATCAGGAGGGCCACAGCTTCACCCATTCTTAATCTAGCTCAATGCTTCAGTCTCTCTTCCCACGCTCATCATTTCTATATTTCTTCCCCCTCACACCAGGTTATGTCAACTTCCGCCAGCAGTATCCAGAGCTCTTTGAAAACCTGACTCCCGAGGCTGTGCGCAGCACCATTGAGGCTGGCTACCCAGGCATCTTGGCCAACAGGGACAAGTATGGACGGGTGGTGCTGCTGTTCAACATTGAGAACTGGGATTACGAGGAGATCACCTTTGATGAGGTGAGCATCTCCGAGCAGAGGTCCTACACCGCAAGCACTTGTGCCCCCCTCCACTATTAAACTACCAATACTTACCACTGGGATGGGTAACTTGTGGCCTCCGTATGTTACTGAGCTACAATAGCGAATGGGGGACCTTTTCCACCGCGAGGGGCACATTCCCTTCTGGCCAGCCTTCCAAGGGCCTGTGGAGGGGGGCCAGTGGTGGGTTAGTGGTGGGTGTGGCCTTTGCAGAGTTCCATGGGCCAGATAGAGAAACCCAGAGGGCCACAACTGGCCCCAGGTCTGAGTTTCTCCACCCCTGGACTGCATCTCCCACCATCCCTGACCACTAGCCATGCTGGTTGGAGCTGATGTGACTTGGGAGTTCAATGGCACCTGGAGAGTCAAGTGTGCAAGTTTGTAATAATAATAATAATTTATTTATACCCTGCCCATCTGGCTAAGTTTCCCCAGCCACTCTGGGCGGCTGTACAAGCATACACAGCAACCAAATAAGACACCAGAATGTCTCAGATTCTTTTCTTGTATATTTGACCCACCTCCTGGTTTGGGATGCTTGGTAGTGAACAATGGCCTGATGCGATAGGCGCTTCATATCTGTGCAGGACTATTTTCTTTTTGTGTTAGAATCCGACTCCTGGAGCAATGGAAGGTGGTGGTGGTGGGAGCCCTCTCACAACTATTTTAGCCCTCTAGCAAGGACAGTCTGCCTTGCCTCTGGTGACTGACTAGACAAGGAGGGAGCGCCTCTCGCTAGTGCAAGGATGCTCATGAAAGATTATCCCCAAGGGAAAACAACCCTCGATACAAAAACATTCCCCGTTCCTGCTGCAAGCTACTGCTTCTCATCAAGGTGTTTCAGGTTCTTTTGGGACAGGCGCGGGGAACCTTTGGTCCTCTAGATGTTGCTGAATTCTCAACAGCACCACCAAGCATGGCCAACGGCTAGGGACGATGCAAGTGCTAAATTCAGCAACATCTGGAGGGCTAAAGGTTTCTCACACCTGGCTGCTGCTTGCAGGGGTTGCAAACTCCTAGTGTGATGCTTTTGCATCAGTTGTTGACTGTTTTTAAGGTTAGATATCCCAACCACTCAGTCATATGGGCTAGAAACATACTTAGCTTTTTAAATGAAAGCTGAGAATCTCAGATAGCTGAACTCTGCTCCCAACTGGAGGGTCAAAGTTTCTCCACATCTGCTCTGCATTCTGTAAGATGGAGCATCATTTGGGCTTTGGGGGGTGGGTATTGTTTTTGTTTGCTACTATGTTTTGTGTGTGTGTGTGTCTTTCTATTGTAAACTGCCCCGTGATCCTCGGATGAAAGGAGAAATTTAATTAACAAAATAAATACTGACTTCAGCAGCCTGGTACAGAAAGGTTGCCTGTTTCCCAAGGTATGGGAGGAAGGAAATCCATCAACTTGGCCAGAGTTCTGGACATAAGCTCCTGTCTCCATGTGTTTTGATCCAGATTCTTCGCGCCTATTGTGTGATCCTAGAGAAGCTGCTAGAGAACGAGGAGACGCAAATCAATGGCTTCTGCATCATTGAGAACTTTAATGGGTTCACCATGCAGCAGGCCTCTGGCATTAAACCATCCGAACTGAAGAAAATGGTGGACATGCTGCAGGTGAGTCTGCCTTATTGCCCTCCCTAGAAAGCAGTGAAGACAACCTGGACCTCATAGATTACAGTGGTGCCTCACAAGACAAAATTAATTTGTTCCGCGAGTTTTTTCGTCTAGCGAATTTTTCGTCTTGCAAAGCACGAAATCCCATAGGAATGCATTGAAATTCAATTAATGTGTTCCTATGGTCAAAAAAAGTCCAAACAAAGCCAAATTTGGTACAACAAGAGTTTATTAAGTGCTCTTTAAAGTCACACATACTGTAAAGAGCATTTCAAAAACTGAAGGAACAATAAATTCAAAAATTGAAGGAACAATAAAAATCATAAAAATGCAGGAAAAAAACCAAGCTTCCAGATTCTTGCAAACCCCTCCCCAACACCAAGTCCTTGAATTCCAAACACCCCAACCCAAAATCCAAAAACCCCCAAAAAAGTTTTAAAAGTTTAACTTACCAAATGGCTGCAAAAGAAGTTTTGGAAAAGCTTCAAAAATCGCCAAAGTCTTCAAAAACCTCAAAAAAGGCTACCACACCGCGTGCTATGAGTTGCTCCTCGAAGTCAAGTCGCAACTGCACCTCTTCAAGCAATGCACTTTGGGTTTTAACGGTTTTACGAAAAAGGAAACAAACTTGCAAGACGTTTTCGTCTTGCAAAGCAAGCCCATAGGGAAATTCGTCTTGCGAAGCAGCTCAAAAACCGCAAAACCCTTTCGTCTAGCGAGTTTTTCGTCTTGCGAGGCATTCGTCTTGCGGGGCACCACTGTACTGGTTATGCAAGAGGCATTCCTAGAACCAGGGGGCAAACAGTATACCACATGACCATTGTGTGTCATCAGTGATGTCAATCAACCCTGGACAGTTCCTTTGTAGAAACATAGGAAGCTGCCTTCTACTGATTTGGACTCTTGTCCAATCTACAGCCTTGCCCCTGTACAGTATATTCCCCCATGCAAAACTCATTCAGGTGGCAGCAATTTCCTTCTCACCAGCTTGCCACTGCAGCCAAAGTCCTTTCGCCTACGAAGTACCGTATTTTTCGCTCTATAGGACGCACCCAACCATAGGACGCACCTAGTTTTAGAGGGGGAGAACAAGAAAAAAAAATCTCTCCCTCTCTGCGCAGTACCCCTTCAGCAAAGCGGCAGGAGAAATGGAGCCCCTTCCATTTCTCCCCCCGCTTCGCTGAAGGGGCGCTGCGCAGAGAGGGAAAACTGTGCAGCGCCTCTCCAGCAAAGCGAAGCCAGGAGAGCAAGAGGGATCAGTGCGCACCGACCCGACTCGCTCTCCAGGCTTCAGCGGAAGCAACGCAAAGACTCTGGAGCACGGCGGGAGCGTTCCTGCTGCACTTTGGAGGCTTCGCGTTGCTTTCGCTGAAGCCATGGAGCCTGCATTTGCTCCATAAGACGCACACACATTTCCCCTTAATTTTTGGAGGGGTAAAGTGTGTCTTATAGAACGAAAAATACGGTACTTCCTCTATCTAGGCATGTAGGCAACTGAGTGATGAAAGTCCGCTGCTTATTGGTGCTCAGAACGGGAACAAAAAGATGATGTATCCACAACCAGAAACATTCACAGGAACATTTGAGGTGCTGGAGAGAAAGGGCTATATGGTCCTTCACGACCCCATGCAATTCATCACATCAATCTGATGAGCGTGATGGTGCGATTTGGCCCTTTGGCTAAATTTCAGACAGGAGAAGAGATCTGTAACAGGAAAGCATGTTTTTACATGAGAGAATGTGTTCTTTTATTTAAAATGCATCTCTGGGTTATTTGTGGGGCCTGCCTGGTGTTTTTACATGAGTAGAATGTGTGCTTTTATTTAAAATGCACCTCTGGGTTATTTGTGGGACTTAGGAATTAGTTCATCCCCCCCCCCCGCAAAAAATATAGGCCGGCTCCCCACAAGGTCTGAGGGACAGTGGACTGGCCCTCTGCTGAAAAAGTTTGCTGACCTGCTGACCCCTGAACACTTTTGCCCTTTAGCTCAAAAATGTGTGAAGTATTTCCTTCAGTCTTCTAGATTGCTGTTTCTCTCATGGGTGCTTTAGCTGAGATTCCTGCATTGCAGGGGGTTGAATTATATGACTCTTGGGGCCTCTTCCAATTCTACAATTTAATGATGGATGAAAACTCTAACTTTTTGCACAGGCAGCGACATTCCAGCCACCCAACAGTTGACACCCTTCCCATTTCCACCCTATATCCCATCAAGCAAGAGATGTTGTCTGTGTACACCTTCCCTCAAGAATCCTGGGAACTGTAGTTTTACCCCTCACAGAGCTACAGTTGCTAGCACCCATAGCAAAACTAGTTCCCAGTATTCCTTGGCGGGGAAATGTGCTTTAAATTCTTGGTGTCTACACAGCCATTATCACAGTTCAGAGACACATTCAAGCCAGGGGGGAAAGTGCTTGAGTGAGAGGTATGACTGTCCAAAGAGTCCAAAAAGATGGAGTATTTGGCCCCTGGACACAAAAGTACTTCATCCCTGCCCTTTACATCCATACAAAGAGCACAGCCCTCAGTGGTGGTTTAGTGGAACTGCTTCGCTTCCTCCACCCATCCAAAAAGGAGAAATCAGGCTTTTGAAACAATAAAAGTCCCCTCTGCCTAGCTGCTCTGTCTCACCTTTGCACTACAGTCATACCTCATGTTATGTTTGCCTCAGGTTGTGTGTTTTCAGGTTGCGTCCCGCTGTGACCCGGAAGTACCGGAAAGGGTTACTTCCGGGTTTCGCTGCTCGCGCATGCGCAGACGTGCAAAATGATGTCAGGCACATTCGCAGAAGCAGCAAATCGCGGCACGTGCAGACGCAGGTTGTGTTCTGCTCATGTTGCGAACGGATCCCGTTTGCAACCAGAGGTACCACTGTATTATTATTTTTTTGCGGCTGGCTGCCTTAACCATGTGCTCTTCTTGGAAATCCCTAGGATTCTTTCCCAGCTCGTTTCAAGGCCGTCCACTTCATCCACCAGCCGTGGTACTTCACCACAACCTACAACGTGGTGAAACCGTTCCTGAAAAACAAACTGCTGGAAAGGGTGAGTTATGCCGCAGAAGGGTAAGGAGCAATGAGAAGACAAATACAGCATTGTCAGTCAAGGAATGCAAGCATGCCAGGGCAGAAATGAGAAGTTACTGGGATTGGGCATCTTCTGCCAGGAATTGCAGGCGTGGAGACCTTTTGGCCCTGCAGATGCTGCCGATCTATTATTGATAAAAACAACAACTTTTGTATCTCACATGTTTCTCCACGAGCAAAAGGTGGTGTACATAGTTCTTCCCCTCCTCATTTAATCCCCACAAACACCCCGTTATGTAAGGTAGGCTGAGAGGCAGTGACTGATCCAAGGTCACCCCCACCCAGGGAGCATCATGGCCCAGTGGGGATTTGAACCCTGGTCTCCCACATTCTAGCCTGACACGCTAACTGTTACACCACACTGCCTGCAACTCCTATCAGCCCCAGCAAGCACGGTCAATGGTCAGGGATGATGGGAGCTGTAGTACAGCAACATCTGGAGGGCCAAAGGTTTCCCCACACCTAGCTGCTGCTTGCAAGGGTAGCAAACTCCTGGTGTTACGATTTTGCATCACTTGTTGATATTATATCCAGCCACTCAGTCATATGGGATAGAAACATGTTTCGCTTTTGAAATGATAGCTGAGAATCTCTCTTTTTACCTACATGCATGCATGCATGCATACATACTTTATTTGGTTTTTCAGATTAAAATTTTAGTCATATATCGAACATAGAACATAAAAATATGATTCCAATGAATCTCTTGGACTTCCCTCCTCCCCTTTGTGGGTCCTATTATTAATCATTTCCTCCTGCATCTTTTATGATGATCCAAATCTTTTACCTCTCCATTGTGTCTAAAATTCACCATTAAGCTACAAGTGATATTCCAATCCTGCTAACGATTTTAGCTGTTTACAATGGTCCTTAAGATAAGTTATAAATTTCCCCCATTCCTTATTAAAAATTTGGTTTTCCTGATTTCCGATTTTTCCAGTCATTTTAGCCATTTCGGCATAGTCCATCAACTTCATCTGCCATTCTTCTCTGGTAGAAGACTTTATCTTATTTCCATCTCTGGGCCAATAACATCTGCGCAGCTGTGGTCACTTACATAGTATTTTCTTCTCCTTTGGGATTTCGGCACCTTTAATTGCTAAAAGGAAAGCTTCAGGTTGATTTTTTTAAGCCAAGGTTATTTTAAACATATATTTCAAATCATTATATAATCATAAGTAAAGTAAAGGGACCCCTGACCATTAGGTCCAGTCGTGGCCGACTCTGGGGTTGCAGAGCTCATCTCGCTTTATTGGCCGAGGGAGCCGGCGTACAGCTTCCGGGTCATGTGGCCAGCATGACTAAGCCGCTTCTGGCAAACCAGAGCAGCGCACGGAAACGCCATTTACTTTCCCACCGGAGTGGTACCTATTTATCTACTTGCACTTTGAGGTGCATTCAAACTGCTAGGTTGGCAGGAGCATGGACCGAGCAATGGGAGCTCACCACGTCGCGGGGATTCAAACCACCAACCTTCTGATCAGCAAGTCCTAGGCTCTGTGGTTTAACCCACAGCGCCACCTGCGTCCCCTGTTATATATCATATAATAGCTCAAAAAGCTGAACTCTGCCCCCCGTTACACAGCATCTCTCAGCTCAACCTTTCTGCCTTCCTTTTCACACTCAGGTGTTTGTGCATGGCGACGAACTCGACACCTTCTACCGAGAGATCGATGCCGATATCCTGCCAGCAGATTTTGGGGGCAATCTGCCCAAATACGACGGCAAAGTCACCGCGGAGCTGCTTTTTGGGACCCGACCTGATGCTGAAGACACAGCTCTTTAATAGCAACATCTTGGCATAGAAGATAGGGCGCAGAGGTGTCCCCCAGCTATCCTGTTAAACGTAGCTTTGGTTGAAAGATCTGTCATGGCCATAAAATCTGGGTGTACATTGCTTTGCCACTCTCTCTCATTCTTTGTCACCAGATGGCAGTAGAGCAATGAAAAGTCCCCTGCCATTTCTCTCAAGAATAATCCTTTTTCCTTTTATTACCTCACCCCCACCCAGGAAAAACAAGAAAGTGGAATGAAAGAGAGGGGGAAGGAAGAAGAAAGAGAGATGGTTTGTGGTGGGGACATTCTAGATGAGGCAGTACAAGCTTTGTTGACCAAGCACCCAGGTAGTCAAGTAGTTGAGATGTGCCTTCATAGATTTACTGGCTTGCCCTAATATGGTGGGGAGAAAGTGTGCACCCATATATAGCTATGTATTTTAGAGCCCAGGTTTCACTGGATTTGGGGACAAGTGGCTAAGGAAAGAGGAAACAGACAAAGCTGTCACAAAGGCAGTGCAAATGGCCCAGCCAAGGACTGTTTTCAATACAGAATAATAATAAAAAAATAACAGCAGCAAGGGTGTTTTTCTTCATTTGTGAGTCACAAAAAGCAACATTCGCAAGTTTCTCTGTGCTTTGGAGAAACCAAAATTCTCTGAGAAGCCCAGTTGTGCAGCCCATGAGAATTAATTACGGTTGAATTTTTTGCAGAATATTTTCAGTAAATTTGTACTATTTTACATGCTTTGTGTTCCCAGCAACCATGCCATGACCTATAGATGGCATTAAGGCCCCATACTCCAACCACTAGAAATCCTAATGTGCAATTCCTCCGGCTTCAAAGATTTCAGAAGGCATTGATCAAAATGTTCAAGTGTATGCTCCTAAAAAAGGTGCTGTTGTTGTTTCAAGGAATTAAAAGCTTAAATTCTTAGGAAGCTGGATTCTGTGGGTGATCCCACATTCCGACAGTTTTCTGCACTTCCTCGAATCACAGCACACACACACACACACACACAGAGAGAGAGAGAGAGAGAGAGAGAGAGAGATCCCTCTCTATCACTCCTGGGCAAAAGGTGAAAGAGGGGAAATGGCAGCCACTGGGAGAGGAGACATACCTTCAACATATGTCTTCAACGTTTTGAATGCAACTTCAGCAAAAGACCCAGAAATAGCTAATTGGAATTTGTATCAATGAATGTGCTTTGAGGTTTGTGGAGACAATGAAGTGGCTTCACCATCAGAAAAAGCTCCAGGTTTTGTGGATTCCTAGAAAAGACATCCACAAAGATATCCCCCCCCCCCCCCGCAATCACGAGTTTGATTTACTTTAGAGATGGAGGTCCAGAGGCTTGAGGGCCAAAATACCACCTTTCAGGCCTCTGTATCTGGCTCTTAAGACTCTCACCAGCCACAGCCCTCAACAGCCCTGCTTTGCATCTTGAGGGTTGCAAAAAACCTGAGGGTTTTTGCCTGGCTGGAACATATCCTTGAACTCTGAAAATGCTTCTTGCTTGCCTGGATGAGGCCAAAGGGGAATGTGTTTAGAAACTAGTTTATGGTATAAAAGAAATTCATTCATTGTTTTGCCCATTTTTACCTCTGGCCCTGACCACCAATGGCATGTGGGCCCCAGAAGGTTGCCCAGAAGAAAATGTAATCCTCAGGTTGAAAAAAAGTTTCCCCATCTTGTTTTACTTCTCCATTTACATAGTCTTTGTTGGTCCTCCATGCTGGTTTCCAAGGCCCCAGACAGAGGCGCTGTCTTGCACTCAAGTTGGGAAGGGGGGGTTGGCGCACATCGTACGCATGTCACAGGCGCCCAGCAACAAATCTGTGGCAAGGTTTACTGTTGCCTCAGCCAGATTTTTCATTTTTACTGCACACAGACCCGCTGTATTCTCTGAATACTAAATTTCAGATGAGGGTATGTAGTGATATGATCAGTTGACCAATTTCATTCATACAACCCATGCTTCATACATACTCCCCTTTTTGCTCATTAAGGCAAGAAGCACCAGCAGTGCTGGAAAGCAGACATGCTTACCCAAGGAGGAGTGGGTTCTCTTCCTTGTTCTATGAAATTAGATCTACAGCAATCCCCACCTCTCTCTCTTCCTCTTCCTAGAGATAAATACCAGGACTGTTTGATTTGTAAAGCAAACCAGCAGGGGTCCCTCTGAAACAGAAAAAGCTCCAAAGAAGCCTACAAGAGGTGCATTCATTAGACCACTGGCTCCCACTCAAGCCAAACAGGATATCTACTCTGATGCTGCAGAGAAGACAGGGGTCTTTCAGAGTGGAGGGTGGGGTGGAAGCTGGTTGAGCTCCCGACTTCAGCATCACAATCTCACCCTACCCAGAGACATTAATATGACTTAGGTGGAGCAAGGGATGTGGATGGAATCAAGTGTCCCTCTGCCACTCTTTCTGATGAATTCACCCATGTTAAGTCAGGTTAAGGTTTCCCAAAGAAATAAAAGAAGCACCCATCACTCCACCACCCATATAACTAGTATACGGAATAAGCATTTCCCCCTGGATCACAAAAATCAGCAAGTTATAGAAAGGAGTTCCAGCTGCACCACTACCTTTGACTTGATGTTTTCCCAAATGTGGGGAATTTAGAGTAAGCAATGCAGACCCGCAGTCTGCTGTGACAGAGCCCACCAAGAGCAGCACATGATTTTGTGGGTCATATACAGCTTGGTTCCTAGAATTTCTGGGGGCTTAAGTAGGTTGCAGTACAAAAAGCCAGTTTGTTGTGTGTTGTTGACTAGAAGCCACAAGCCCCAAATCTGGATGGTTATTTCAGATCAATTTGTGAACTGAAGCATTGTGCATCTCTGCAATGCTGTACTTCCTCCCCCCAGGTCTCTTTCTCTAGGCTTCTTTTCTCTTAGATAACTAGGTTAATATTAAATCTGGATATAAGCATGTTACCAGTACAGTTGACTCAGTTCAAAGATTAACTGTAGGGGTAGCAATGCTTCCACTAGATACACTGCAAGTTAAGAGGCTTTTCCATGTAAATGAAGAATCAATGTGATTATTTCTCAAAATATGTATACTTAAATATCTGCTGTGCCATGCACAGACATTTTCATTTTTGTTAGATGGAAACAAACTGTTCTAGTCTGCCCAGTGACTCCCAGATTTTTCTCTTTTGCTGTGCTTTGGCCAGTTCAATCCTCACAAAAACCAAGTGGCAAATGAAAGGAAAATGCTAATCACAGACACATAGCAGTCATTTTTGTTTGCTGCTGGTTCTGCAAGGGTTGGGCTAGCCAAGGCATAGAAAAACAGAAATGAGCAAGTGTGGAAAGAAGACTTGTCCAGTGCACAGGTTCCTAAATTCTCACACCCAACCTCACAGATGTTATGGAAGCTGCTTGTAGAAAGAGCTTGTATGGGATTTTCATTGCTATCTATTTAAGGAAAGCATGCACAATGTACAGTGGTACCTTGGTTTACAAACTTAATCCGTTCTGCAAGTCCGTTCTTAAACCAAAGCGTTCTTAAACCAAGGTGATCTTTCCCATAGCAGCGGGGGACTCAATTTACAAATGGAACACACTCAACAGGAAGTGAAACATGTTCTTAGTCCAAGGCAAAGTTCACAAACCAAAACACCAACTTCCTGGTTTGCAGCATTCTTAATCCAAGTTGTTCATAAACTAAGGTGTTCTTTGTTGGTTTCTATTTCCCTCACTGAGCAGCAACTGCAGTCACAAGACATTGTTTTGCATTCCACAGTCAGAGGTACTGTTGGAGTTTCTCACGGGAAAGGGAGACTGGATGTGACGTACACTGGTTTCCTGTTTTTCACTGTGTTATTCTCTCCAAGCTGTTGAGGAGAGAGGATGCATTTTTCTGCTCCTGCAGAGGCAAGATGTCTTTCTGTAATATACCAGCTTTGAACTGTAAATAAAGCAATATAGAGTATGTAGCACGTATTCCTCATCCTTCCGCTGGGCACGACAGACTCTGCTTTAAATCAACACGTGGTTATGGACTCCAGAGGTCGAATCGGAGTGCCGGCAAAGGATCGGAATGCAGAGGGACGGATCGGAAAGGAATCTGCTCTGCGCGTAGAAGTGATTGATGAGGTATGTGCTACTGCTCCGGGCAGCCTGCCAGCTTCAAGTTAATGGCTTTATGGCTGGACTTTGAACTTTTAAAGCCGGTTTTGCCGGGAATAGGCAAAAGGCTCCCAGGCACAAGTCACTATGCTGGGAAATCGAAAGTAACTTTTAAGTGTGCCTTTGTAATGAGGCAGCTGCAGCAGTGACGCAGCAAGATTTAAAGCAGCATATGACGCTGAAGGCTAATGCCAGAGTCATGATGGCCCTTCAGGATGCTTGTGGGATTCCTAAGCTCAACAAGAAGAATTACAGCGACTGGGTTCAGTATGCAGAGGCAATTCTGCGGAAAGAGGGTTTGTTTGAGGTGATTACAGGAACCCCCAGTTCCAGTTACAGATGCATGGGAAGCTAAGGATTCCAAAGCAAGGGGAACTCTTACATTGATAGTATCCCCAGAAGAGCTCTGTCTATTGCGTGATAAGACCTCAGCCAGAGAAATTTGGGACGCTCTGAGAGAGGCTCACTTAAGGACAGAAGCTGGATCCACTATGTTTTATTTTAACAAGCTGCATAATATGGCTCTTGCTGAAGGTGGAGATGTGCGTTTACATCTGATGCAGATACAAAATCTGAGACATGAGCTGCAACAGAGAGGACTCAACTTTCCAGAGGCTGTGTATTCTTTCATGATACTACAATCTTTGGGTTCAGGTTGGGAGTCTGTTGCAACCCAGATTGCTGTGCAACCAACTGCTCAGCTGACAGTGGACTTTGTTACTGCCGTGATTTTAAATGAAGCAGATCGCCGGGGTGCTAGCTGCATGGGCAAGGGAGAGTCTTCACAGACGTCATCCCATAGTGCAGTGGAACCACCAGATGGCGCCAAAGCTTTGAAGGCTGTTAAATGCTACTCGTGTGGACGTCTAGGCCATATGAAGAGGGAATGCAGACATCCCAGGGCCAAGACAGAGCAGCGCAGCGAAAGCTCATCGCGCGGAAAAGGCCGAGGCAAAGGCAAAGGTCCGGTGTCTAGGACAACGCAGCACAAGGCTATGGTTTCACGCTTCACTCCAAAGGTTGCAGAGGTCCAGAAGACGTCTAGATCTTTCTTCGTTGTTGATTCAGCGGCGACACACCACATGTGCAACGATAAGAAACTGTTTGTGTCTTTTACACCGCAGGAAGGTGCGATTCACCAGGCGGATGACCACACTATTCCCAGTAAAGGCTACGGAACTGTTGTTCTTCACAGTTTGGACTTATCGATACAGACTGTGCTTTACGTGCCAGACGCCAAACATAATCTGCTCAGCGTTGGACAGCTGAATGAGCGGAACATTGACGTTTCCTTCAAGAACAAGAAGTGCATCATCACAAAGAAAAATGATTATGTATTGCATGCAGAATATGTTGATCGTTTGTTTGTTTTGTATTATGATGATGTGGTGCAGGATGATACTTGTTGCATTGCAGGTTCTAACAAAAGTTTGC